AATAGTTAAAATGTGTCTGTGTTGCTAACTTAGCTGCCACTAGAATTTTGATGAAAACAGATGACAGTGTGGTCTTGGAAACTGCCTAGTGACATGTGTTTGTAAGGGTAACTGTCCGAAAGGAGACTTTGATTAATTTCCCCACCTGAACAAAGAACTTCCATTTAGTATTGATTGTGTCCCATGCTTCTAAAGTACTCAGGATCAGACATTTTGCTAAGATTTCAATGTAACTCTATGAGCTAGGATACTAAAATGACACATCCCAATTTTGTCTGGATTTCGTAGAATTTTGGCAAAAATTAATCATATCACAACTGTGGGACTCAGTAGGGATTTTCAGTTATACTGGATTATTACTAAATCTTACTTTATTTTAGGTTCAAATCTTCCCACTAAGTATTTTATAGGTTCAAACCTGATTAACCAGACTTTTCTCAATCTCTATCATTCCTTTGAACATGATTACTAAATCTCTCAAGTCACTGAACAATATTTCATACATTAATATGACTCAGGACCACTACTCTGTTACAAACATTTTTCTGCATTTGTCTGGCCCTTCCTGATATCATTCTGAGCATAGATATAACATTCTTTGTTCCAGTGTCTTTAATGAAATCCTACCGTTCTTGTCTTATTTCTGGTTGAATTCTGCTATGCACTATTCATCAGAATTTGGATAAGTTTCATTATATTGCTTATTGATTATCTGGAGCAGCTTGCATCTGGCTTCTTAGGCAGTGCTAAGAAAATGGATCTACTTGAATCTCACTAAGGTCTTCCAATATGTCATCATAGTCATAAAATTCATTTATTGTTTCTGTAATTTTGTCAATGCTAAAATCATTTTTAGCTGCCAGTGTCTCCATTGCAATCCGCCATCTGGTCCTGCTGCTTTTTTCCTGTTTAACTTGCTCGGTGCTGATCTCACTTCAGACTTTAATATTACACGTCCTTCCATATTTTTGTGTACTGCACGTTTCCCTTTCATCATGGAAGATTCAGTCTTTGCAGTATTTTTTGACCAGACAACTTCTTTTGCATGTTGATATAGTTTCTAAAAGCTCCCCAACTGATGTTTACAAGAAATTTTCAAAATACGTACAGTAATTGAATACATACACAACAAATATACTATTTATGTTGACAGGCATTAAACAAATTATTTTTGTCTTTTTCTTTAAATATTCTATATACACACAATCTGGCAAACATAACTACAACAGCAATCACACCACCATGGAAATCTTTGCACCTTATTAAATTCTCATTTACTCTATCTTATGATATGAACAAGGCTGGCAAATTCACCTTTGTGGTTGAAAATTTTGATCTGAAGTACTGGAAATAATTCATTTCTCCCCAAAGGTATTATACATACAGCCTTGTGTTAAAATTGGATTCATCCAATAGATATGAGATTCTATAAATCTTTTACAGAAAAAAAAAAGTTTCAAAAACAAATATTTTCAGTCAGAACATTAAATTCTAAGGTTTAAACATTTTGTAAGTCATTTTAAAAAGATTTCTTTAACTATATTTAGTAAAGGGCATTTATTCTATTCTTTATTTTATTGAGAACTATATGTATTTATAAAAAGAAAAATTAATAGATGCATAAATATGAAAAAGAGCTATCAGCTTTATATTTTTAAGACCAGTTTTGCCATCAAGCATCATTTAATCAAAATGTAGTGACTGCTTGCTGTAAATCAAAAGCTATCATATCAATTTCAATTACTGACAACTTGTGTCAAATAAAGGAATGTATTTTTCATCTTTCATCATAATGTTAAAAAATTCATTATACTTTAGTAAATCATACATGAAAATAATTCAATAAACTTGTTTTTCTGTTTAGAAGCCATGAAAGTATGTAACCAAACTGATACAAATGATTTTCACAACTTTGAACATTTTGAGCATGTTGGCTCTCTTGTATGCTGTTGTTTATTAATAATAGTAGTAGTAGTAGTAATAACTTCAAATAGCCTGTCCCAGAATTAAGTATCTCTCTAGCATGAAGCTTCTTCACATGTTATCATTCCCAACAGCTTCTTTACAATTCAAAATTTGTTTTTGCATTTGAATCACACTTTTCTTAAAATTAAAAAAAGTTCATATTTTCAATGTTAGAATCAATAAAGCAAACAATTTTGATAAAGATGTATGATTGTTGTTACAAGGAAATAAAAAGTGAACATTTTGAATTAAATTAGTAAAAGTTATATTCTATGAGTGCAATCTAACAAAAATAATGTCTCACACCAAGTTGTAAAATATCATCTTAAAAGTGAAACTAATCAAAATACAGCTTCAGGTTTTCAACAATTGAATTCTTTTTTCAAACTCTAGAAAAAGTTACCAATATAAATAGGAATTTCAGAAATATATAATTTTATAACATTCCAGTTGGAAAAGCACAGGATTCATATTATCAAATGATCAACTTTAGAGTATGTCAGGTAAGAATTTCATTCAATGTTACAACAACCTCCACCATGGTGTTTATACAAGATAGCTTTTATTTCATTTGTGTTCAATGTGAATCTTCACAACTTACATTTTAGTAATAATAATAATAAAAAAAAAGAAGTACAAGAGAAAAAGTGAAATCAAAGTTTAATATTTCTGAAAGGAAAAAAAAGTTGTTTATAAGAAAGTATGAAATCAAGAATGTCTGGTTCTGAGAAAACTTAGAATGTTGACAAGCAAATATTGTGGCACTGTGTCAGGTGTTGATTCATCCTAATGCAAAACACGAAAATGGAGATGTACGAGATGTCAATTTGAACAACAATTTTGGAAATGTCCCACACTTCAGTTTTTTTTCACATATTAAAAAGTAAAACAATCAACCTCTGAGTAAAATAAGTAAAACAAATGACTGATTCATTAAATTTGCAACTATTCACCAAGAGAAAAGCCATTAGTTTTACTAGGTGCCATTAACAAGATTACTAAATCCAGCAGTTAATTTTGTGTGTTATATAGAAACATTTTAATAACAGCTTCTCTAACCAAAGAAAAAAAATGAAACACACACAAAAAAAAAAAAAAAAAAAAAAACTGGGATATAGAAATGAAATGGCAATCATTTCATGACAAAATAAATAAGCCAATAAAAGTTGGCTGAGACTTTGAAAACAGGATAGAAAAAACAAAATGAATTATTCGTTTTGCATTAGGGAGAAAAAGAAACAATGCATGTAATTTGATCATTACAATTGCAATGTATTTACATTTGTCCAACTAAGGCACATCCCTTTTATAGTGTAAAAATGGAAAATTCTAGGACAAACATGTAAGCCTCTCTTTCACTGTCCCATCTTTATACTGATAACTAGTGCCATTCTATTAGAAGCCAAAATAAAAATGTTTAGAGAATCTACAACATTATTCAACCCATGCTCACTGACAAAGGTTGTGCAGAAATATTTGCATTATTGATTAGACTGAGAGCTAACTTCTTCTGTGAATTAATGGAGATCAATGTGGAGATGATAGGAAAAGAGGAAGGAATGTTCTAAGAGGTAACATGTATTGAAGAGAAAACCAAAAGGAACAGGACATTCACTCACATGCACACAAGATTACTTCCACTCATTTCATTATCACTTGATAACTGCCACCTTAAGCTTTACTTATCCCATATAATAAAGGAATTTACAGGTAGGAAAAAATAGTTTTTTTGTTTTTTTAATGCTGCTCTTATTAAAAAGAAACCTAAATAGGGAAGTTTTTCCAGCTGGAAAATTATCTGGAATCTTCCTTGCCACAAAGGTTTGCTCCAATAGAGAAAATTGCAAGTATTCGTTTAATGTGAACCAGCAGGTAGTTTTCTTTCCTTTTTAGTAGTTTTTTTTCTTTTGTGGGGAGAGTGCGCAAATTTCTGCTGCTGCTGCTGCTGCAGTTAAAAATAAAAGAAAACTAATAATAACCAGCTGCTGCTGCTATATTTCAAAGAGGAAAAAGTTAAATTGGTCAAAGCATTGAGTATGTTTTTTGCTGCAAATTAATTGGGACAAAAAAAAAAAAAAAAAAAAAAATTTTTTTTTTTATTTTTGTTTTCTTGTTTCTGTTCAATTACTACAAATGAAACCTTGAAAGAATTTCCTACAGCTTTCCACTCCCAATCACAAAAATGAAAGAAAAAAATCTTTTCTTGCTCAAAGGATTAATAAAAACAACATTGTGGGTGAATTGTTCAAGTCTCATCATCATAACTTCCCCTGTAAGATTCTCAATGACAACAGGGAGTAAATAATGGAGTCCTAAAGTGGAGCCCATTGCCACTTGTTATTGGCTACTGGAGGCCGCACTGACACTGCTGCTGCTGCTGTTCCCGCTGCTTTTGCCAGGTACTGCAGCTAGAAGCCTGTTGGTCTGTGAATTAACGATCAGTTGGAGACATGAATAGTCACAACTGCCTGTAGGGAGTAATCACACACCTGCCTCAAGCTAGATATAGCCTTCAACGCTTCCTGAAAAACAGAGTTACACAATAACTTATTAAATAAATATAGACATTTAGGCAATAAGTTTTTTTTTTTTTTAATTTTAAAATATAAAATATGATCAGAGATTTTTCATTTGCTTCATACAAAGCTTATAATCAATCTAAATAGTAAAGTTACTCCTTCCTGATATATTTTGAAGTTATCTAAATATTTTACTCATTTCTAAGAAAAAAAAAAAAAAAAATTGGGGAAAAATTTATTTTACAGTAATCAAACCATTTGTCATAAAAAACAAAAATCTTTAAACTTAGATATAAAATATTTATTTTGAACATTTTAAGAAAATGAATTCCAATTTTAAAATTTCTTCATCTTGATTTTTGTTTGCAGTTATTTTGCACATAATGTCCATTCATGAATATTTCTGTAAAATTAACTAAGAGAAGTTAGTTAATAGAATATTGATTTAAAAGAAATAGATTCTTACTTGCGTACAAAGGTTTTTGTTTGTCAGAGAACAAACAACCTGGATGTAATTCAACTGAAATTTAAAAAAAGTAAAAGAAAAAAGAGCATTGTAAACAGTTAATTAAATAAGTTATAAAAAGAATAGAAGATTTTAAAAGAAAAACATTTTTTCATAAAATATTATATAAATTAAGCATTGTAGATTATTAAAAATATAACCAAAATCTAGCCAAATTTGTACCTTTACTGATAAACCATTGTTTGATTTACAGTTTTTCTCTCTCTAAAGGCATCTGTCTTCAAGTCTATAAAAGATATTTTTTTAATCTATGGCAAAATTAATCTAAACTTTAACATAATGAAAATGAGAACAACCAATATAAAAACTTGCCTATTTAGTTGTGAAAGAATCAGTTATATCCTTTGTTAAATTATATCACACACAGTAGTTTCATATAAAATGGATGACCTACAAGTTTGATATATGGCAACATTTTGGTCATTGCAGTAAAATAGACAAAGAAACCAAAGTTGCTACAAATATCTGTTAGTAAAAATAAAGAGAAAGTATACTAATAATTATTATAACTGCATGATAGTCCTGAATAAGCCAAAATAATCAACCTTTTTTCACTCAGCAAAGAAGTTCATCTTAAGAGCCAATATTGCAAATCAATAACACAGAGCAAACTTTGGTGTCCCATTTTTGATCCCAAAATCAAGTTAACCAAATTAAATATACATACCCTAATTATCTGGTAAGTATTGCAAGCCTTGTCAACTTACTTTGATCCAAAGATCAAGTCAGCATCAGGAGCTCCTTTGGGATGTTGATAACGAACACGCCTTTCTCTATTGGTGTTGACGGGTGCTGGCCTACTTAAAGCAGCCAGCATTTCTACAAAAAAATCCACAAAGACTATTACAGATCTCAGTCTTTCTTCACTCTCACGGCAGAGGAACAAAACCTAGAGTAATTTTCATCTTACAAAGAAATATAACCATAAATTGTTGATATTTCCAAAATAAATCAACCTTTCATTAAATTAATCTATTTCTTGTTTATTTATGAGTCAAAAATAAAAGTATACCATTTTTTAAAGGTTAGTATTAGAAAAGAAACTTTTCATAATGCCAACAGGAAAAAACAAAACAAAACAAAACAAAGGAGTAGAGGGACAAATAAATAAACAAAAACTCTGCTATTCTTGGTTTGGTGAAAGAGTGATACATTAGATCCTAATAATGAATGGAAACGGGAGAGACCCAAACATGTCAGTTTGAAGGAAACTCATTTTAGTCAATTAAAAATCCTATATACAGGATGCGATGGATAAATTGTCGTCTAAATTACACAAAAATGAAAACAACACCGACATCTTATTTTAACAGATATATTTACCAAAATTACACAAAAATATCTTTGAAATACTAAAGAGTAAATTTATTCAATAAAATCACCATTGGCTTTAACTACAGTCTCTAGATAACTTCAGACCGTCTCTTTGTTTAAGTTGAGGAATACTGCCATAATCTTAGCCTTCAGTTAATCTTTGGTGTTACAAGTTTTGTTGGTTTCTCACTCAACTGTGCCCCACACATAATAATCAAGGGGGTTGCAGTCTAGGGAGTTAGGTGTCCAGCTGTAAGGGGTGATGTGGTCACAGAAATTCTGACAGCCATGACTGGGTTCTCCTGCTTGTATGGCATGGTGCAGATTCTTGTTACCAGACCTAAGGTCTTCCAGCAGCCACCCTTTTTGACCCAAGGCAGCACTACCTTCTCAAGCCACTTTATATTGGCCTCCATGTTGAGTCCAACAAATTTAGGAGGAGTTCTTTTTTATCAGAATGGTTAGAGTGAGTTTTCTGAGCTGCTGTACCTACATAAACACCATTAGACTCTACCAACTCTTTCTGAATCGTCTGCACTGTACTTAGATTGACATCCAAACACTTTGAAATGTTCATGTTGGAGATTCCAGCAAGAATGTCAAACAGTACAACATGCCGTTTCCAAATTTCTGGCAGAGTGAATTGCGTCATGGTGCTCTTTTTCTCACAGGTGCCCAACTGACAACCTTCAACCAAATTTTCTGCATAAAAATTATTATATAATAAAGGGTTTAAAGGAACATGAGACATCCTATAATTAATGATTCAGGGAGAAACTGAAAATCCTAATAAGGAAACCAAACTAGGAGGTAAGAATTCAAGTGTTGATTCATTTATTCTTTGGACAGAAGCTCAACAATTAAGGAAACATCAAAGTTGACAGGGTGTGTAAAGAAATGAAACAAAAAGCAGAATATATTTTTGAAAGGATTTTTTCTTTTTCTGATATAAGTTATTAAGAAACAATCTTTTATTAGATTAAAAGAATGATTTTAAAGTTTTGTCTTCATAGGTGTTGTATTTATATATTTTTAAAATTTTTAAATATGGATTAAATGTTCTAACAAATACCAAATAAATTTTTCATTAGTTTTAAAATCTAATCCAATTTTGCAAACAATGAACTGCATAGCATCTATTTGTGCCTTTGATAATTTTCAATTGTTTAATAATTAGATAATTTGAAGATATTACACTTTATGCTGATAATTACATCACATTAATTCTACTAAAAAAAGCACTGGTAACCATAATTCTGGGAAAATTAGCACAAAAGTACTATCCTTAATGTCAATAATAAAAGAAAGGTGTATATTTAAAGAAATTGTGAAGAAATAAGTATCTTTTTGAGAAAAATAAAAAAAAAAATTGAGTAGTGTTCTTATATTGTTTTATAACTATATTTAAGCATTTTATAAAGTCTCCCAAATAAGTAAACTTGCTGTATTATTTAAAAGAAAAAAATAACTTTCTTAATGAAAAACAAATTAGAAATCATTTGTCAACTAAAGAATTAATAAATTACAATTCCTATTTTTTTTTTTTTTTTTCAAATTTATCAAACAAATTATTTCTTGCTTTAAATATTATAATCTCCCATTTGTATAAAAAAATGTTACAAAACATTCTACAATCCTTGGCACAATATCAATCACAATCAAATAGGCTGAATTTAATAAAAGTATTTTAAGTTTTATAGCATTATAAATTTCATTGTTGCCTTAGGAATATACAAAAGTTTATAAATTTTAATAAACAAATAGTTTACATGTTTCTTTTCTAAAGGAAATGCAAATTACAACTTCCAAATGAAATATGAAATTTTCTTCAATGATAAAAAAAGTATTTTAAGTACAAGAGTAATTTGCATGTATGTGCTGTAATGTTGACATTTTTCTATCAAAAGAACTAATAATAAAATCATTAGTAAAAGATGAGAGACTGCTTGAAGTTGACAAAATCAGAGTACCTTGATAATCTTCTTCTTCTTGACGTTCATGGATTCCAAGAACAACTTGCTTCATCTGCTCCTTTTCAGCACGTTCTGCCTGCATAACCAAAAAGTTACATTACAATCAATATATACTTCAGGCAGGGTTGCAAAACTGAATATGAGAGCAATGCTTACAAAATGAAACTTATTCACCAGAAAATTGTGGCACTAATTAAGGTATCCAACATTAAGCAATCACTTACCCTCTCTCTTTCTTTGAACTTGGCTGCAAATTCCGTAGAAATTGGAACATTCAGATTAGTGTACTGGAAAATTAAAATGATGTGATAAAATATAAAAGAATTTTCATCATAAGATTGTAAATGTACATTAGGCACGAAAAGCCATAAATGAATATTTAAAATTTTTTTTTATTTAAAAAGTAAGTTTCACATTCTAGAATTTTTAAAAATTTCTTTATCCACAAAAAAACTGAAGAGAAAATAAAAACCTGTCACTCACCTGCTGTTTGTTACCTTTCTTTGTCATCAACACAAATTTGATGGTGTCATTAATGGTGTCAATATTGTTTTGAGAGTAGGAAACTGCAAAGAAAGTAAATACTAATAACAAATCTAATTCAAGAAAAATTTCTATAAACTTTCAGATTATTATAAATCACTTCCATTTCAGATGAGATCAGAATGGATTAAAAAAAATTAAGTTCACTAAAAATTTGTTTAATAGTTATTGGTAAATAAAACAAAAACCAATAAAGTTTTGATAAAAATAAAAAAAATAAAATAAAAAATAAAACAAACAATTCCCTTACATTGTTTCCGTACTTGACCTCTAAGATGCATAGGCACAGCAATATCCAACTGTGGTACTTTAAGAGACTCTTGTGATCTTGCCTGAAATAGAACAGAAATAAGTGGAATTACTTTGTACAGAATTAAATGCAAATAAAAAACTAAGAATATTTAAGTAATTCTGAAATATCTATCTCAAGAGTGTTAACTCATTTCTCAAAATCTAATAAAATGATTAAATTTTTTTTCTTTAATCCATTTTTAACACCACCCCTTGATTATTTTGCAATATCCTAATTAATTAAGCTAAAGAAGTTATTTTCTTTAACCAAGGATTAAATTATACACCTTCAAAGGGAAAACTTTCTAACCTGCAAGTTGTCAGCCATCATCTTATCAAAAGCAGAAAGAAAATCTTCATCCTCTGTACATTTAATATGTTTAGGACCTCCTGTTAAGACGGTTACCTAAAATAGAAACAAATATAATTATTCACAATCATTAGAACAAGATTGAGGCATAAAAAAAAGTAAAGAAAAATAAAGCTGGAGAAAAAAAAATTGCTTAGAATCCAAGCATTAAGTTGTTATGTATATTTTTATAAAGGGGTTAAAATTAATCCTGTTATATGCTTCTATACAACTTCTTGAATTTTCTTTCCTAGTCTATTATAAGCGAGTAAATGAGCATTAAATATCTTAAATACTAAATATTGAAATCCTGCAATATTCATTGTCCAATTTTTATTAATCAACTAAGTCACAGCTTTAAATACTTTTTATTTTTTCCTACATATTGTGTTGGGCTATCCATTGTAGAATTATTGTATCTACACACTCTTTTTGTACATTGTTTTTTGTAAAACCTCTGGATTTTCATATAATATTGGGGCAATCTCTCTTAAATTTATAGACTCAAGTTTGTACATGCTCTACCAAAGAAACAAGCCCTTATTGATTCTTTAACACAAGCAGTTATCTTCCAATGCACATTGAATTATTGTTTAATATATTTTTTTAATGCTACTTTATACTGCACTATCAGGTCATTTATATCTTTCATACTTTACAGCACTGACATTTCTTTATAAATTTTCTTTTACAGTAAGAAATCATTAATAAATCAACAAACCAATTACAGAATTTTTTTAAATAAGTCAGCTATTCCAATCCAATTATTAATACAAATGAACCTTTCAACTATCAAATTTTAAAGTATTCTTTGTCAAAACAAGAGCCTAGAAAAGAGTAATAAAAATCCTTTTCAATATTCTATTCAAGTGAGAAGAAAAAAGTGATATTAATATTGCACATTACTAAATTGAACTGATACTGACATTTTAAAAGTAATATCTGAATTAAAACCATTTTGCAGAAGAAAAACAAATTATTTTCTAATTGAAAAACCTACAACATATTTTACTTTGAATGCCAAAATCTGTTGTCACAAATAAAATGCTTCATACTTGATCTTCAGTTTCATCTTCTCCAGCTGACTCTAACAGATCCTCTTCTTCCTCTTCACTGTGAGTGCTGTTGGCATAATCATCACCCTGCAAACAAAATTTAACATTGACATAATAGGGAGAGAGAGCTGGAGGATGACAGTGTCAAAATAATTGCCATCTTATAAGTGGATTTTTTTTTTTTTATTGTGTTCTCTACAAATGAATCTTTGGCCATATTGGAGTCATCTTACCGCTTAATATTTTTTAGCAAGGCTTCTGGATGAGGAAAGAAGATGCAAGATGACACCAAAAATACCATGCAAAATTTTTTATAAGCTAAACTGTGACATTAAATTCCTGCATTCTTTCATTACTTGAAATAATGGTGAAAATTTCCAAAGAAACCAAGATGAAGATAGTGAAGATGGCCAAGAATATGAACCAGTGAGCAATTGCTAAAGAACTTGGAATGTCAAGAAGCAACATTTCAGAAATCCTCTTGAAGTCTCAAAACACTGTTTTGAATTGGTCACCTTCAAAAGCTGCAGCAAACAATAATACTGATCAGGACAGCAAAAAGCTCAGGGAAAGAAGACTGATAGAGAAGTGATGGATCAGTGCAACTTATTCAATTTGGTGTTACTAGATAACACTAAGTGCACCCTTCAAGAACATGTATAACACTGTGGGCCATTTTAGCCCCTGCACTACATGACAACGCTGTCCCATCCTCAGTCACCAGTGTGTCTGCGATTGAATCCTGCAGCTAACTGTGAAGTTGGTCACTTCAATCCAAGCCTTTCTGTCACATGTGTTTGTCTTGATCACATGGCAGGCAAGGACTGAATCATTGCCAGATATCACTGGATTGGTGTCATTCAGGCAGGATGATGTTATAAGGCAAAAATAAAAAAAAGTTGTGTAAATCAATGAGGTTTATATAGGAACACTTTTTTTATATAAGAATCTACAAGCATGCAGGCTAACAATCATTCCCTTGTAGTTTAATTTTGTGACACTTATTCTTCATTTTCAAGTCAGAGTCGAGGCTTCAAACTTTAAGTCAGATATTTCTTCAGGCAGCAAATTACAGAATGCTGACAAAGCACTACTCTCCCGCTTTCTCTCTTTGCCGTTATATAGAGACTTTCAATTCTTCTACTTTTTCAATTTCATCAGGGCATTTTGCTCAATTTATCTAATAGTCTGAAACAAGGCAATGAGTCAAGAGTTCTTAGTGGCAGCAAATCACATGGCATAATGAAAGCGCATGTCTGCCTCAACTGCTACTCTGTCAGTCTTCTTTTCTCGCTCCTAAAACCGGGTTGGGTTTGGCTTGTTCTGGGATGCCTTCGAATCTCCTGTCACCCAATCAAATCTCCATGGTTACTGTTGAGTGGCCCGTGTATGCCCAAATGTGGAAAAGTGTTAGAAACTTTTGGATAAGATCACAAACAGTGATGATATAAAGATGCAACTGTATGCATCTCATCCCAGGGCTATTGCAGCAATTATTTAAACTACAGGAAGACACACAAAATATTAACCAAAAAGTTAATGCATAATGTGCATTAACTTTTTGAAATGCACATTATATAATAAATTAGACATTTCTGTTTTAAAAACACAGCATCTGAATTGGTTTATGTGAGGTAGCTGAAATCATTTGTACAAGCATTTTGAGTGGGGGTTATCTCACATTCTCCATGCTCCTTCAGAATCCGCACTAAAAGGTATGATAATTAGGTGTGAAAATGACCTCAATAATAGACATCAGAATAAAAACATCCACTTATAAGATGGTAATTAATTGAAATTTAAAATAGTTTAAAATAGCTGAAAACATCATTTATATATATATATATATATATATATATATGCGTGCGCACACACACACACACAAAGAGTGCGATGAGTAAACTGTCGCCATTTTATATTTTTAATTTCACATATGCATGTTGTTTTTGATTTTGTTGACTGCAGTATGGTCAGTTGGGCACCTTCTGTGAGAAAAAGAGCACTATGACGCAATTCAGTCTGCCAGGAATTTGGAAACAGCTTACTGTACAGCTTGGCATTTGCGCCAGAGGCTCCAATACAAACATTGGAGAGTTTTTGTGTGTCAATATGAGGACAGTACTGAGGATGCAGTGTCCCCGAAAGATGTACAGCAAGTGATGAAAACCAAATATCCAGTAAACATCATGGTGTTTGGAGTGATCACTAGTGATGGAGACGTTATGCCTCTACTCCTCTTCCTACAGGGCCTCAGACTCACCACAGAATCTTTCATCAAGTACATTGAAGAGGTAGTGCTGCCCTGAGTCAAGAGTGTGGCTGCTGGAAGACTCTAGGTCTGACAACATAACTCTGCACCATGCTACACAAGCAGGAGAACCCAGTCATGGCTGTCAGACAATTTCTGTGACCACATCACCCCTTACTTAACCCTAGACTGCAACCCATTGATTATGTGTGGGCACAGTTGAGCGAGAGACCAACAAAACTCCTTGTAAAACCAAAGATGAACTGAAGTCAAGAATTATGGCAGCATTCACCAATTTAAACAATGAGACCATCCAGAAGAGTTGCCTGAGATCCCAAAGTCATCAGGAGACTGTGGCTGGAGCCAATAGTGATTTTATTGAATAAATTTACTCATTCGTACTTAAAGTTATTTTTTGTTAGACAACAATTTATCCATCACACCTTCTGTGTGTGTGTGTGTGTGTGTGTGTGTGTATATATATATATATATATATAGACTGGGAATAGGATAAAGAACAAATAGGAAACATTTATAAATCTATGTTATGCTTTTATTAAAACTTCATCAGAGAATGAGATATGGAAAAAATTTTCTGCTATTTTTCATTTTTGGATTTGATTTTCATTGGTTAGGCAGATTTCACATGATAATTTGTGTGTAAGTATCATAATTCTACTTTGGCTATGCAGGACCCAGATGATTGTGCGCATGTGTCTTTAGTAGGCATTATTTATACTTGGAGGTTGTTTGCACGTTTATTTGGGGATGTTTTTTAGTAGTCAAATATACGTTAGATTCTTTAAGAATGATTTAATAAATGTTAGTGATGTAATATAGTGTTTATAGTTGGTAAAATTTTTGTCTGTAATCTTTTGAAGTATTTTTGACATAAAGAATTCTTTTTTAATTAGAATGGCATTTGTAAAAATCAAAGATATGGCCAGTCATGTTCCTGTGTATCACAAGTGAGTTTAATGATTGTCTCAACATAGGTCTCTCTTATGTTCACAGATGTGGGCTTTTATATTTTGAAACGTCTTCCCAATGTACATGCATCTACATTGCAAGCACTTTATTTAATAAATCCTAGTATCTGCAGTGATGTTGGATTTGTTTTTTCTTCTTAATTATACCTCCAATTATCTTGGAGTTATCCTAATCCACATTCACTACCCTCAGAACACTTAACCTATGTCCATACAGTGAGAATGTTACCTGTAATATCACTATAAACAAAATTTTAATTATGTTCAATTTTTTTTTTGAACAAAAAATGTTTTCCTTCTATATTTATCTTAAATATACTAGGAAGAACATTGATTTATTGAAACATGTCATTATAAACAAACATTACAATATTCAAGCCTAATGGTTAAAAGTAAAGATGATCCTATATATATATATCAAATTTTTTTTTCTCACCTCATGAACCTGGCTGCCAGTACGACTCTGGCTTTGTTCATCCTGGCTAGTTTCACTTTCCACAAGGTTTTCATCATTGTTTGTCTGGGATAAACTCTGACTCAATTCTTCTACAACAATTTCACACACATTATGAAATGAAGTGTAAACCACCAAATTTAATAAAAAATTCATACAAAATTCAAAGCTCAACTTTGTTTGGCTTCTGTTAAAACAAACTTATGCTGTCACCAAAAACAGAAAAACTAGAATTCATTTAAACTGTTTTTTTCACTTTTGAGAAAGTAAAATCAAAATTTGATTAATCTACATCAAATGTTTCACAAAGAAAATTGGTCTCACTAATGATTCAGTTTAGTCTTTTTAAAAACTTTCATTAAAAAAAAAAACAAAAAAACACAAAACAACAAATATGTGCACCTATAAATCAAAATGTTATCTGCATAGATTTACTTCAATATTTTGGCTAAATTACCCACTGAACAAAAAGAAAGGGAAAGAATTTTTTTAATAAAGGTAAAAGACAATGACACAAAAAAAATCATTGAATAACAACCACCAAAATGTACCTCAAAGATTCTGTGATAAAAACAAAAAAAAAAGGTAGTTGTTTTGATATTTCAACCTTTGCTGGATTATTTAATGCTGAATTTTTATGGTCACTCTGTGAGGATCAAGCTCATTAGTCAATGGTCAATATCCCACACTGACGTGCCTTCAAGTTATGAATATTTAAAGATTATCTAATGAAATATTGTAATTCTATAAAACAAATCAAATAAGTACATGTCTACATTAGAAGTTAAAATGCTTTGCATGAATTTTGAATTTAAATTTTACAAGTAAATAGTATTTACCATCACTTTCAGTAATGGAACTAAAAGCATAATCTTCAAGTCCATTTGTGTCCACTTCATCTCCTGTTTCAATGATTGGTAACACTTCAGCTGAAAACAAAGAGAATAGAAAAAAGTGTAATTAATATATATAAAAAAAAATCCAATCCTATATTTTTATAAATTATGAGTCAAAAACTTTCATTACTCAAAGAAAAAGTAAAACTAAATTTTTATTGTATATGTGGAATTTAAGCTGAATTCATATGCAGTTATTAATTGTACTGAAAACCAGTGTCTTTTTCCTTAAAAGAAAATATCTGCAATCAAATAAAAACTCACTTTTTTAAAAATTTTAGTTTAGATTTTTGAGATGAGAAATTGTTAATAGACTTTGGCTTGAGTTTATTCAAACTATTGCTATTATCTTGATTATTATAGATGCTGTGTCTATAAGTACTTCCATAATATACAAGACAAGAACAATAGTTTAAATAAACTTAATAAAGACTCAGCTGATATAAACATTCAGAAGGGAATATACAAAAACAAGTTAACAAAGTGTTCTAAGTCACATCGATATTAATTATCTATAGCAAGTGACAGTCTGAAAGTTTTTAAATATTTGACAGAATTATTTTTGTTTATAAAGAATACAGCAGAGCATCAGGATATGCATTCTGATAGATTTAGACCAAATTAATAAGGTTTCATTTTAAATGTCTTACCAAGCTTGGGTTTCATTTCCCTCTCCAGATCATTCACTGCTTTGTAAGCATCTTCAATGCTATCAAAGAGTTTTAATTTAGGCCGAACAGCTTCAATAGTATCTGTTACTAAGTTGTCAACATCAACTGGAAACGGACGGTCTTCAGTCCAAAGAGGCAGCTTCTTCTTGAACCAATAATACCTCTGCGGTGGTAATAAAATGTTAGACATAGATTTTTTTCTTCAAGATTTAAAAAATATGTATCATTAAAAAAAATAAAAATAAATAAATAAATAAAATAAAATATATATATATATATATATATATATATATATATATATATATATATATCTGTCTGAAAGTAATCAAACTAACATTTTCATTCATAGAAATTACTGAATATATATAAAATGTAGAAAAAACTGATAATGTTTACAAATTGAAAAAACTATAAATGATTCATGGACAAGTAAAACAAAATGGTTATCCAAAGACCATGTGCTCAGTTTTAGGGCTGAATCTTACTAGCAGTGTGCTTTAACAAAATAGATAGGTGATAGAGAAAGATGATGTAGGCATAATACCATTAAAAGGATAGTGGACTTCAAAGATCATGACAAAAAAAAAAAAAAAAAAAAAAAACAACATAGGGGATACATGTAGGTTCAGATTTTGGGGAAATCAATGGAAAATCTTAATTGTATGTGTAAAATAAAAGATAAGTTTGACAAATGAGTGAGAAAAAATAAACTTCTAGTATAGCATGCAATTTAAAAAAAAATTGTGCAAATTTTGACTTTCTCACCTGGAAGTAAATAAGGAAATAATCTAGTTTTTTTTTACTGGAACCTTTATCAAAATATTGGCCACATGTATCTAGCAGTACGCATACGAGACGAATTCGGAACAGGTGTTCAGGGTGATCCAATGGAGATGCTACATTTTCTATAAAAAAAGATTTCATCATACAAAATAAATAAAACTATGATTCATTTATACTTCATGTATTAAATTCATTTAGATAAATGCATAAAAATGGATGAATGTATGCCATAACATGAAAAATGTGTACATTTTAACTTCAAATTATTGAGAGAAAAAAAAGTAAAAGGTTTTATATATATATATATATATATATATATATATATATATATATATATATATATCTCCAAGTACAGGATTGGTGTAGACGGAATAAAATTCCAATAACCAAAAACACTATTTTTAAGAGTGCTCAATACAGTGTAGAGCAAATAGTATTTATTCAAAAATTATAACCTAAACATGTTATAACATCACTACAAAAATAGCCATTTTGTTTCAACATTTCTGGTGTCTTATCAAGTGATGGTGTTGATTGCGAAATTCAAAACCAACAAATCAACCCCCCTCAATACGTAACCTATGATGTCAATCAGAATACAAGTATATGAAAATGCAAAAAACATGATGGTATATTCTAAATACTAACCATTAGTTGATTAGAGTAAATGCTAGATCAAACCAAAAATCAATATGAAATAATTAACCTTTAATTGATGATAAAATTAAAAATCAAAAATTTCAAATAAAATTGAGCATTAGGTTTAAAATATAAAGTTATTGAAAAATGGAATGGAGGAAAAGAAAAATGTAAACATATATATGTATCATCATTATTCTTATTTAAAGGCCAATATATCCAGTAAAAATCAATGCTGATGTGAAAAGTATACATGAATGCTACATATCGCAATCAACAGGACGTTGGCTGATGGCATGACAAACACATTTGTTTCCTAAAACACAGACACATGAATAAAACTAAACATATATGAACGCAAATATATGAATGACACATGAAATAGAAGAAAACAAGGAAAAGAAAAAAAAAGAAGAAAGGAAAAGAAAAAAGAGGAAATTCAAAATTTAAAGATAAAAAGTAAAAGAACAACAAACGGATAAAAATGTAAAAAGGAAATTACAACCGAAACAAGTGTAGACAAGTAAAAACAAAATACAAGCAATCATACATCTGTACCCATATACAAATAAGCAAACTCACCAAAATTGTGGAACTATTTTTTTCTTTGTCAATAAACATCTACATGTGGTTCTTTAACATGTATGCATGTTCAGGGTTTCTATTATCAGTCTAGTGTGAGGGGCCCGAACAAACGGTGACTGATGGATCAATGAATATTTTATAATTTTATTTATTTATTGTGATGTATATGTGAATCTAGCAGCACAAGGTAAGTTTAAAGTAGTGCGTTGGTATATATGATAGATAAATTGTTTCTATATGGAGAAAAACCACAGCTTTTGTGTTTATAGGTATCATTCCAATTTCTCAGAAATCATGAGGACAAGGTAGTGCTGTTTTACATTTATGTCAAGCAGATAGGTTACAACCCTAATATTTTCTGAAATTTTTGGTAAAAAAAGTGTGACCTATCCACAAGTATATATGGTAGTTCATTTCAACATAACAACCATCTCTTACTACAAAACAAATACGCCAAATTCTATTTGTCTGAGTTCTTATCAAAACTATAGAATTATGACATGATCATTTAATCAAACCCAAAACAAAGTTTAGAGCATGAAAGAACCAATTCTGCAATTGATTTTTCTTGATATATTTTTTAAATTAAAAATTATTTGGAACATTTTGTGTTTTGGGCCATCAACAGCAACTCTAATTTTCTTTTTCAAAATTCCATTCTAAAAATGAGTAAATGCAATGAATTAATTTTAATGAATTGTTGTAAACTTATAATAGGAAAATTAAATATTTATTTCATTTTTCTCTCTTTTCTCATATTTTCCTGGAATATATTTCAGTGATCAAAATTACACTACTATTAATCATAGAGATATTACTAGGACTCCCTTAACCTATTGGTAACTGTATAGAATAATAAATTTTACATTTTTTTGATATCTTAGTAAAGAACTAGACTCTGGACAACAAAACATGACTAAAGAAATGACCAGCATAACAAATATTTTGTTAATAATTCTAGCTTAAGGAGTGGGATCAATATAAATATTTTTTTTTTTTTTTTTATTCAAGGACATAATACAAATATTTTATTGCTTCAATTTGGAATTAGATACGGTTTGAAATGAATCTAGAATCTAAAGGAAACAAATTTCAATCTAATATAATAAAAGATTGTCAAAAGGCACAAAATCTTAAAATAAAAATCACACACACACATATATATATATAAGACTTACCTTCTAATGATATGCCAAATGTGATGAAGGAATAAAGGACTTTGAATATGACGGAGGATTCTACCATGCGGTAGTTGTATAATTCTCCCAAGTACTTAATGGCACTAACTCTCCGCTGGTTATACTTGGGATGGTTTATCTGAAAGAGTTAGGAATTGGAAAAGTTGCCACATTAGAAAATAATTTCTAAAATGCAGTCTACATAATTAACAAGAAGTGAAAATACAATATAATGATTATTTTACTAGGTTATCATCACCAAAACTCTTTCTAGTTATACCAATAAAATTTAAAAAAAAAAAAAAAAAAAAAAAAGTTACATGCCATTTTTGTAATTTCAAATATTTTATTGATATTTTAAAATTTAAGTGGATTGTAAAATAAATTAGGTGAACATATCAGGAAGAAAAGTACAAGTTCTTCAAGCATAAATCTCATCAAATTATGCCTATAAATTAAAAACTTGTGCTAATATCCAAGATGATTGAACTGAGAAAATCAAAAATTGCATTCTATTAAAATACTTTATTTATATTTTGATTATATTAGATTGAAATTTTTAATTTTTATTTGTAAAATGTTATTTTAGACCTCTATAATTTCAGATTCAGAACTATTTTGTATCTTGAGATTTGCATAATTCATTGTCTTATTTGCTAAAAACCAACACCAAATTAACAACATAATATCACTAATTTTTTAACTGACTTCCTACTGGAAGCCTTTATAATATTCAACCTAGTTTTAAAAGAGTCAAAGGTTTCTGGACATTTGTTGTTTAGCTGTTACTTTTTTTCACAACTTTGCCTGTCACCTGCATCAAATACTGCAAAGAATATTGTCTCTTAGGCAAATCTAAGATGACATCTTTAACATGATCCTTCATGATGATTTCAAGATTCTTGATGGAATTGAGGACAGATGAAAAATGAATTTCCTGATTACCTGCCAAATCTGTTTAAGCTTTCTCAATCTCTGAGTTGGTCATCAAACTTCACAAGAAACAAATATTTACATATGTATACAATATGTATTGAAATGCTAAAAGAAATCCAAGAAAATCATGTGTGTAAAAAATTCTATCAAGAATAGTATATATTCTTTTTGGAGTGAAAATTTTAGCTGTTTATTCAGAGTTATAAAGAAAAAAACTTAATGACTAAACTAAAAGATTCAGCAAAAAATAAAAGAAAGAACAGTATCAAAAATACTGTTCTATTGACTCTCAATGTTGGGATAATGCAAGGGTGAAACATGTCTGTGAACAATGTTCTTTATGATAAAAAAAATCTCTTTACAAACCAAATTCAGATATCTTCTTCACACCCAATAAAATAAAACCTAGAATAAAACGCGTATTTGCAATATTGATCAGTTCATTACCAACAACAGTGACATTCTCAATAAGAAAAGAAAAGAAAAAAAAGATTCATAACAAATACTCATTTTTCATGTAAAGACGTGAAATTTTAAATTAACAATTTTTTGACAAATTTTTACAAAGTTGTTACTGACTATATGAAAATTATGAGCAAACAAAGAAATATGACAAAAATTTCAATGATAATAAAAGTATCCTATGGTTGAATCTTCATGCATATTTTGAGAAAAATACTTGTCTTTTGTATATTACAAATCTGATATTTGGGAATACAGGTATCTGCTTTAAATGACTTTATTAAATATTCATTTAGTCATATTATTCAATTTAAAATCTTTATTCTAACACTAATAATAAAAGAAACAAAATACATGCAACATGACTATATGCTAAAGTTTAATATCAATCATTACGAATTCATGTCTTAGCAAAATTTTAAAAAATTTTTGTTGGTAACTTTTATATATTGAAAACAAATACCAACAAAAAATGATAACCATTTTCCTATTTCCTAATTTGTATACACCAATTGAATTAAATATTATATGAAAGAAGTATTTTTTACTAACCTCCATCCCAATTCTGATATCCTCTAGGATACCATCAACTACTTGAATGGCTACAAGTTCCTATAAAAGCAATAAAAAATTATAAATATTATTAAACCAAATATAAGACAAAACTAAAATTTGAAATTAAAGAAAAATGTTATAAAAAAAAAAAAAAAAAAAAAAAAAAAAAAGGGGGTTATGTGCCATTTTTAGCCCAAGGTCATTCTTTGTAATACTGTAAAGTGTCCATACTGAGATAGTAGAAAGAGATTAATTCTGCTACAAAATTCAATAATTACTCTCTTCAGATTTGAAAGGTATTATCTGATATCACAAGAGGATTCGCCATTAATATATTCATGGAACAGTCAAAAATATTCTCATCAAAGACAAATATGATAATTATTAGGTACTGCACTAAGTACTTCTTGAACAATTTTATCAAAGATTTGCAATAATTTATATTTTTTGAAGTGTTGAAAACCAATTATAGTTAACCAAAAAGACAAAAAAATATTTAACTTTCCTCCTACATACATACTAATTGCAAAACACACATACTATATATAATCTTAAAAAAAATTGCCTAATGAATTTTATTAAACTTTACATTTTTGGATAATAAATAAATAATATCACCATTATTATTAAATAAATAATTTACCATTATTATTTAATAATATTTCAGAAGTATCCACACAACATAAATTTTAAAACATTAATTAAACATATGTAAACAGATTTCAAATTTTTTCCCAGCATGTATCTTTTGCTTTTACAAAACCAAAAGTATATATTTTATAAAGCAACTAAAAAATTTCTAACTGAAATAATTTAATGGTACTTTTTATTTTTCTGATTCATGGTAGATTTCCTACATCTTATAAAGTTTAAAATTAAATTTAAACTGATTTAATTTCTCTGGGGAATTATTTTTATAAAAGTTCTAAAATACTTTAATTGTTCAAAAAATGTTTTAAGATTTCATAGGATTAAATAAAAAAGTATTGTGTGAGTGTATGATTAGCTTTTAAAAAATCATTTTTTGAAAGTTTTTACAAAATTCCATAAATGAACAAGTATCAAAATTTTCACTGAAATCTGACTTAACTATTTGTAGTTTGTCTACACCGGGGTCAGCAACCTTTTGGAAAGTGTGGGCCTAAAAGTGTCTCGAAGGAGGGCCATATCAAATTTACTATAATAAATTGTTTCGACCTCAGACTGCACTGTCCCTTGGTCTGTAGGTTTAAAGAAAAAACAACAAAGTTAATGTTATATTATTTAAATAAGATTCCTTATCTTCCTGCAGGAATAACAGGGTAACAACTAACACAATCAGCAAAAAAATGCAAATCCCTTACTCCAAACAAAATATAGTTAGAAATGGAAAATTATTTAATGTGATGCTTTTTTTCTGCTTATTGTTCGATAAAATCTTCACATCAGAGGAAATATTTGTCAATGACAGGAGCAAGACATCAGCCAGGTGGTCATCACCCAACCTTGTTCTTAAACGACTCTTAGTACATTTCCTTTTCAAAAAATATTGTTCACAAGGATATCTACTTCCAAATAAGGATACCATCATTTTCACATTATTCAATAGACTTCAATTCCACTTGGCAAAACATAATTCTTGTAGTAGATTTGGAATTAAATTTTGATTTCAAAAATTTGTCACATTGTAAGTTGATTAAGTCCAACTGATATTTTTCTGTAATCTGCTTCACAAATGCATTAGATAATTAGTGTCCATTAGCGTCTAAGTTGCTGGGCCAGACAAAAATTCTTCCCCAGCTGGATGTGGCTCAGAGGCTGGGGTTGCCAACCCCTGGTCTACATTATGTCATTTCTATGAGTACATCATTTTAAAATGTAAACAACTCTTCAGTGACAAAATTCTTGTTCTGTACATTGGCTACATTATTTTCTTTTTAATCTCAGAATGTTTCAACTCACTCATTTCAAATGGGACAAAGGTTATTAAAGAAAATTAATGAGAAGTTTTGAGTATTTTATCAATACATGTTCTTTAAAAAAAAAAAAAAAAAAAAAAAGGTGTGTGGCAATACCCCAAAATTTCCAGTAATGTCTAGCTTTTATAAAAAGAACAATAAAAACTTAAAATTTTTCTATTTTCAAAAATTGTTTTTTTCTCATTTTAATATTTCAATGTTTAAAATTCCAGTGCTAGTAAAACAATTCAAAATTACTTCTGTAAGTTTTTGAAAGTGCATGACAGGAGGAAAGATTACTCCTATTACAAAAATATTAATAATTTAACAAATTAAATTTTAAAAGCAGGTTTTTCCAGATACCACTAAAAGAAATTTGTTACCTGTTTAATTTAAAGAAAAATTGGGAGAAAATAATTAAATATTGATATGTAGAGTAACAACATCGCCAAAGTTTTAAAGATAATAACTGAAGTTAGAGAAAGGTTTCTTAATTCTTACATGATAAGGAGCCAAACCAGCAAGGAGATTTGCTGCACAATGGATGGAATTGTAACGGATATTCCATACAGCTGTCAGACATTTGGTCGCGTAGAAAGCAACCTAAAACAATGCAAACAGACAGAACAAAACTTAATAAAATTTATGAAGAACAAGTCAAATTTTCCATTTTTCTGAATAAATAAAAGGTGTTAATTACAAAAAGAAAATAAATTTGATAAATATAGAAACTACACAAATTGTCAAAATCAGTATCTAGAAATCATTTTCAAATTATCAATTGTATTTCAAAAAATATTTGTTCATTGCTTAAATTTTTGATATAGAATAATCAGTGACAGACTTTAGTGAGGGATGCATTAAATGTAGATAATCTTTTTAGGAAATGGATCTGACAGATTTTTAATTTATTTGTTTAAACATTATTTTATAAATGAATATTTATTTACATCTATCATCCTGAATATTCAAGAGATCTTATTAGAAAAACGTGTCTTCCGACACATATTTTTCTAACAAGATTTCATGAATATTCAGGCCAGTAGATGTAAATAACTAAATATACAGTTTATTAATTAAGGAAAAACAGAACATCTACTCAAATGAGTATCCATTTAAACAATAATGTTTAAAGAAGTAGATAAATTTATAAAAAAATCTCACAAAAACTAAGGTATAAACTACTGATATTTTGTAGCCATCTAAAATATAGGAACACTATGAATGTTAAATTTTTTGAATATTTTATATTAGTGAACCTTTTATTTAGACATGAAAATTTCAATTTCCTTTAAATCTATTTTTATAAAATTTCTTCTTAGAATGTATACCTATTAAATCATTAACAACTTAAAAATCAGCATATTGAAAAAAAAAAAAATAAAAAAAAATTACCTCATGGTCATCCCAGTTGAGCTTTCTCATTTGCCTTAGGACCTAATAAAAATAATAGCCAGAATTAGTCCAGAATATCAATTATAAAACAACATTTTATAATACATAAATACTCAGAAGCATTTAATATTCAGTACATTTTATCAATTGTTAAGACAAAAGTTAGAATTACAAAGCAGTTTCTTCATTAACTTATTTCTTTTAAAATAAAGATCAGTCACTTTTGTCATACATAGAATAAAAACATCATTAAAAAACTACAAAAGTATTAAGAGTACTGTAATGAGACAACTTTGAAGTTTTATTGGTGCGTGGAAGCTGCAAACAATGATTTCTGGTAGTAAAAGAGTGAAGCTAACAGATTAAGAAAAATGCTAATGGAAGAAGAATAGACTGATGAGAGGTTAAAATAAAGAAAGAACAGTTCAAAAAGGTTAATTAGAACCATAAAATGAAGATTAGAGTGGCCATCAGAATGGTTTGAAGTCAAGACTGATTTTATATCAACAGAAGTGTACTCTTGGATAACCCCATGTGTCAAACACTAATCAGAATGGAATGAACATATACAGGTAGTCAGGTCTGGGAAGGGAAGCAAAAGCCCACACTCATAACAATAGAATTTTGTATTTTGAGAACACCTTCAAGGTTAAAAGTGATGCTTAATTCTTTATATAAATCGGTGCTTGCAGACATCCAGCAGCAGAGTAAAAGGGTTTAGGTTTTTGTCACAAAGAAAGTTTAGATCCAAACCACTAAGTGTAGCCAAGAGTTGAAGTCAAATTTTGTAATATGTATGAGTGGAAGCCAACCATCACTAGTAATAGCCAGCTTTTTGAAGTTGTGGGATTCAATATAAAGACTCAATGGTCATAAGAACTCCCATAAATTGATTATTGTTAAATGTGTATATAGCTCAAGAACACACACCCAAATTGTAAAAGCTCTCACACTAAAAGGCTACCTCAAGTCAACTACAATTTTAAGACTGACATTTTTATTAGCTCTTGTCTATTTATCAAAAAGTAAAATTCCTTTAAACATGCTCTGGTGTTGTTCATTATTTCTGATGAGTGAATTTGCACCATTTGATTACCAGTGAATCAGCAAACAGAAAACCACAGCCTAATAAGATTCTAAAAGTTTTGTTAGGTACACAATGACTCATTAGACTCTACAATCATAAATGAACATGGCAGTGACCAAGACTGTCACAGGCAGAGAAATAACTTACAGACCAATATAAAAAATATCATCCACCCAACACAAGTCTGTTTAATTTATGCTGCAATGGCATTAGGATTGAGATCCTGAGGAACCACACATGTTCACACTTGTTTATAACATAACCTATATTTTAAAAAGCTCATCCTTATTCTCCAAAAGATACAAATACAGTAAGTAAAAAAAAACATTTTATCAACATTTTTAAAGGCAATTTAATGGATAAATTTTTATGCAAACAACTTAATCTCAAGGGCTTTTCAGAGATCATTTTTGATTTAGGCCATGGAAGTAATTTATTGTTTAATATTTTTGCTTGACTTGGCTAATGTAACATGGTTAAAACACTAAACCTGGTTATAAAGCTATTTCCAATATTATGGCTTAATTTTTTAAGAAGCTTTCAACCCATCTAATTTCTCAAAACTAATTAACTTTCTTAGTTCTTTTTCCATAATTTGTTTTTATTGTAACATTATTGTAATAAAATAATTTCAATAATTTTATGAAAGATTTTTTTGATCATATTTTTATACAGAATTTAAAGATACATTTTAGTAAAATTTTCAAGTTTAATACTTGCAAATATAAAAATATTAATATTTCATAAGACAAATTGAGTGATTCATATTCATTGTTTTATGATGTCATTTTACAAGTTTTTAAATATTTATAATAAAAAAAATATCAAGTAACTGCTTAATGATTGCGTAAACTATGACGTTTCATGCAACAATTATTTTGATACAAATTAAAAAGACTTTACTTTTTCTGTGGTTACTTTAGAGAGGTCTTTGTACAATAGCTTTCGTATATATTCATGTATTGGTGGGCGTATCTTCTTGACCATTTGGGGTACTTCTGGAGGGTTACTGTAGTAATAAGCATTCTCTATCATTGTTGTATAACGACTGTCCAAGTGAAGAGCAGCCTTTTTTCGCATCATCACTTCCTAAAAGAAAGTGTGAAAAAAGAAAAAGAATAAAGTGAAGGAAACATTAATAATAATAAAGTATCTAAGATAAATTTCATAGTAAAGTATACTCAATCAAAATACTGAAATAAAAAAAAAAAATACATATTTATAACTTTCTGAAATGTGACACTAAGCATCAATTTAAGCTTAATATACAGAAAATATTGTCTAAAAGTAAATGTTATGTACTGCTGTTTGCTTAATCTCAACTAAGTAAAATATTTTCTCAAAGATCAAATGCTCAAAGATTTTATTTAGTTTTCAACCTCCCCAATTGTAAGACAACTGCTGAACATTTGAGAGAATTACTTACTAAATAAACTTTAGTCCTGTGGTGAGAATCCATTTGTCTGTAGAGGTATCGGCCACAAGTTTCTAGGAGAGCACAGGCCATCTCAATGTTGTGGTGAGTAAAGTCAAACAGCAACAGCTAGAGGATAAAAGTAAACAAAAAACAAACATAAAATTGACACATTTAAATGGAAACATTATTTAGTGCAATCTTGTCCAAAACAATGACTATTTACCTTGCAGTATTCAAATCAAATTGCTGTGTTTAAAAAAAAGTAAACTCATATGTTGCTGCAATTTTATCATAATAAACTATTAGCAATCACAACTTAATGATTAATGCTTCATTAGATAATTGCATAATAAAATCATATATTTAATTCTACAAATATCAAACTTTAATCCATCTATGGGATTTATCACTTTTTATTTTCTTTACAGCACTAGTACAATTCTGTAAGAAAGAAAAAAAATATGTGTTTCATTTTTCAATCATAAAAAGTGTAGTAATTACTAAAAAATAATTAATATTCAACTTATTAATATTAATATAATTTTATTACAATTTAAATATCAAACAAAAATATTTAAAACCTTTCAATTGTTTCTTAATGAAAATAATATTAAGAAAATGAAAACTGTTATAAATCCTTATTCACAAATTTTGCAAATAAGAGGCAATAGCCAACTTTAATATGAATATTCAAAAGCAATTTTATGAAAATAATATCTAAGAAAATATAAAGGTATTCAATTCTTATTCCACAACAAAACAAAACAAATAAAAATGTTATATAGTAACAAACCTTTAAACAAAATAAAGTCTCTGTTTTTGGAAACATCTTGAATTTCACTAATTCACCTAAAAAAAAAAAAAAAAAAAAAAAAAAAAAAAAAAAGAGATAAGTCAAAAGAAAGGTCAATATGGCTATAAATAAAAAGCTTCATTGCAAAAAACTAAAAATAAATAGAAGTGTTACTTACCAATAAAACGAACCGTTTTCAATTTGGATTCTATGTTTATCTGATCTTTTTTACGTACCTAGAGAATTAAAACCAAAAGGACATTTTGTAATGGTAAAGTGAAAATAACATTAAAAAAATACCAAATGAGAACCAAAAATGCGGTGTAATTTTTTTTAGCCAAATCCTTGTGTTATATATAAATAAGTCTTAAATGTATTTAATGATTGAAATAAAATCACTTTAATGCATAATCAAAACTATTAGGAATTGACTTTAAGATAAAAACAGTTAAGAACATCTTTCCAATTAAAATTATGTCACTTTAAAATCAAATTACAAATACTTGTCAAAAAATACAAAAAACCCTTCATATATAGCTATTAATGTTTGTCAGATTACATAGAATACTGCATTCTGTATGCATTGTCCAACACAACACAAATTGCTTTAAATTCATTTGCTTTTCAAGTGACTAAAGTGATGGAACTTTTTTCCTTGACAGTATAATAATGTATATGAAAGTTAGCATACAAACTCTTAAATTACATGTATCAGTTCTTTGCAAAATAAATATGAGAGATTCACTTTAGAGTTAAATGAAATCAAATCATATCCAGATAACAATATGAAACATAGTACATACATGCCACCGAAAATCTCCTTTCAGCAAGTGCACAAGATCATTCGCCACATCTGGCATACATGGATGGAGAGTAGCCACTAACCGGGAATAAAATGGCAGGAGATCATATCTAAGGAAAATGTACACAAGAAAAAACAATTAAATATTCGGCAAATGGTTCACCTGATACCTATATTAATTACAAAAGCTTTAGTCAACCAGTAACAATACAATTACCATATGGGATTGAAACAGAATGTACGTGAGAATCATGGAAGATTGTAGTTTAAAGACAGTAAAATCGACCTTGCTAACCGAACGCTCCTCTGTGGCCCAATCGGTTAAAGGCACGTCAGGCTATATGACGGTTCCGTATAGAGTACAGGTTCGATTCCTGTCAGAGGACGAATATTTTCTATGAAAATTTCTCAGACATTCAGGCTGGTAAATGTTGTTTAATACTGTTTATTATAAACAGAGCATTTACTTAAATATTTGTATCTATAAAAAGAATGTATAAACAAAAATGTCTTAAAATAATTGTTGGACTTTGTCCATTTCATAATAAATATTATATATATCTCACAAACAATTTAACTATTTATTTTTGCACTGATATTGATCTTCCTTTTACATGTATTTATTTTCTTCTTAATATTCTTTGTTTATTGTCTGGCTCCATTATGTTATTTAGACAATTATTGTTTGCAAATGTGTGGTAGGATACAAGGAACCATTCTTATCAGTATCTATTTTTATAGCCTATACAGCAGGTAGTATTTTGCAAATATTGGCTTTTCCATTTTTTTTTTTTTTAAAGATGAAATGTGTCTTAATAAAGATTGCCAAATTAATTTTAATTATCTTTAATTTATGAACATTATAAAACATGTGTAATATATTATAATTTATTATGTTTTTAATATTATTCAATAAACCATTAAAATGTTCAATGGACTTATTGACTGACTTCAGAGTTTTGCATAATTCTGTTAATCAGGGTGAGGCAGTGCAATAAATGAATTATTACCACATGTCACAGTTATACTCCACAAAACAAATGCTAATCATAAACTTCAAATTTGAAATATACCCCACATTAATGTTTGTTAAGAAATTATTTCAAATTTGAAGTCCATGATTAGCATTTGTTTTGTGAAGTATAAACATATCTGGTAATAAGTCATTTGATTTATCATCTGAGTGGTATCACGTGAAACTGGAATTAGCCAATGATACAATTACAGTGAACATCTATTGAATATTGTTGCTTTTGTTATCTACTGAGCATAGTTTTTGGCAAAAATTTTTGATGGCCTTAAAATACATTAAATTCTAGTAATTTCTATATAATTTGATAGGCAACCGAGTTAAACAATAGACATTCTATGACAATTTTCATAAAAAAAATTTGTAGGACTTATGTTTATGTTTATGACCAAAGCAAGCCACAAAACTGGAGAAATTTGGCCATAGTCAGTGCTAGAGAAGGATGAATCTCACTAAGCTATTCCTGTCCAAGACCTAATGCATGAAGATGAACATAATGATTTTGTTTGTTTGTGTTTTACGGCATATCAACCTCGTTGGGTTATTTAATGCCAATAATAGATATCTAGGCTTTGATAACTAGATAGATAGCTTGTCATTCATACTTTGATATAAAGATATATATGTTGATATTTACACCTTGACAATCAGATAGATAGCTTGATAATCACACTTCAACATATAGATAGATATTCTTGCCTTAGAGGCTCTTGCAAGTACTTTAGCAGAGCTTAATTGTGGCACTGGGTTTAGTTATAAAAAGGAAACAAATTTTTTTTTTTAAATTTTGTTATGGATGCTGATTTCTGAAAGGAAATTATATCTTGTTAGTGTCTGTTTCTTCAAAGACTCTTTTGAGGCTCTTATGGTAATAATATTTTATTTTGGAGATGGTTCTGCACTTCAACATGAAGTGCTCCACTGTGAGTCTGGTTCCGCAGGAGCATTTTGGAGGATCCATTCTCTTCAGGATATAAGAGTGAGTTATGTGTGAATGTCCTATGCATTGTTTGGTCATAAGAACTTGTTTTCTTCGGGTATTATCTGAGTCCCTTTTCCATTGTTTTATTGTAGGTTTTATTTGATGGAGTTTATTTTTGGTTTGGTTTTCCCATGTTTTCTACCATTTCTCCTTGATGAATTTGTTTATTTCAGGTTTCAAATCTGTCTCTGGTATTTTTATGTTTTTGTCTATATTCATTTTTAGTGGGGATTTGGCTGCTGTGTCCGCTTTGTCTCCTCCTTTGATTCCAATGTGGCTCAGGATCCAGCAGAGAATGATGTTCTTTTCTTCCATATAGAATAGTTTGTGGAAGATGTTATTAATTTGTGAGTTATCCAGTTTTTTCCCTTTCAGGTATGTTAGTATGGATAGTGAATCAGAGAGAATTATAAAGTTTTTTTGGTGTGCTTCCTGAGATTACGTCTAAAGCAAGGCTGATTGCATGTGCCTCTGCAGTGAAGATTGAGCTTCCTATTGCGAGGTGTTTCTTTTTAGTGATTTGTTTGTTTATTGCTGCACATCGTACTTTATTTCCACTTCTTGATCCATCCGTGTATATTTTACAGTAGTTAGGAAATTTTTCCATTAATTGTTCGTAATTATCCTTAAAGGTGGTGGGCTGTCTTTGTTTTTTGGGAGGATTGTATAATTCAAGGATTATTTTAGGTTGTTTGATTGTCCATGGTGGGATGTTGGGAGTTTTAGTTTCTTGGATATTTGATATAGCAGTGTTTAGTTCTTCTGCAAAGGGTTTTATTCTAAGACCAAAAGGTAGTATGTCATTTCCTGTTTGCTGATATTGTTTATAGTAATTTAGGTCTAGGGTAATTTCTTTGGCTATATTTGTTGGGAGTGATTTTATTTTGGTGCAGTATTGTAAGGCTAATTTTATGTATTGTAGGTGTGTGTGTGGTGGGGGGAGTCGCCTGCTTCTATGTATAAACTTTCTACTGAGGATGTTCTAAAGGCTCCTAGTACTAATCTAAGTCCCTGGTGGTAGGTAGTCTCAAGCATTTTTGAGTAAGATTTTCTGGTAGCCCCATATATAGAACCAGCGTAGTCAAGTTTTGATTGGAGTAAAGATCTATAAAGTTTAATTAGGGTTTGTTTGTTCACTCCCCATTCATTGTGGGCTACTACCCAAAGGAGTCGTAGAACTTTGCTGCATTTTGTTTACAGATATTTCAAATAGGGAATGAAAGTAAGTTTTCTGTCAAAAAATTACTGAGAAATTTGTGTTGATTCACTACAGGAATTTCTGTTCCGTTTAGTTTCAAACATGGGTCATTGTGGAACTTTCTTAGTTTACAAAAATGGATGCATTTTGTTTTTGTTTCTGAAAAAGTGAAACCATTTTTTGTGACCCATTTTTGTATTGCGTTAATGCATTGCTGAAGTTGCCTTTCAATTTGTATATAATAAGAAAGTCATCAACGTAGAGGGAGTATCTGACTCCTGGACTTAGGGTTTTTGTTATGGAGTTTATCTTGATGCAAAAAAAGAGTCACTGAAAGAATGCTTCCCTGAGGGACTCCTTCCTCTTGTCCTTGTGTATCTGAAAGTATGTTGCCTATTCGTACTTGAAATTTTTGATTTTGTAAGAAATTGCTGATGTATTCTGTTAATCTGCCTCTTAGGCCTAGATCGTATAAATCTTTTAGGATGCCATACCTCCATGTGGTATCATATGCTTTTTCCAGGTCAAAGAACACTGCTATTAGATGTTCTTTTTGGATAAAAGCTTCTCTGACAAAGGTTTCTAGCTGAACCAAATGGTCTATGGTACTCCTCTTTTTTCTGAAAGCACACTGATAATCGCTGATTAAGTTGCTTTTTTCTGGATGCCAAGTTAGTCTGTTATTAACCATCTTTTCTATTGTCTTGCTGAGGCAGCTCATTAGCGCTATTGGCCTGTAGTTTCCTGGTTCTGAATCGTCTTTGCCGGGTTTTGAGATGGGAATGATAATAGATTGTCTCCACAACTTTGGAAAGTGGTTTTTTGTCCATATGTTGTTCAGCAGATTTAGCAGTAGTTGAAGTGATTTGTTTGGTAGCTTTTTTATGAATTAGTAATGGACGTCGTCTGGTCCTACTGCCGTATCACTAGCTTTCTTAAAGATTCCTTTAATTCCTCTATTGAAAAAGGAAGGTTGTAGCTTTCATCGTTGTTGATTTGAAATTTAGTCTTTGCTTTTCAGCATTTTGTTTAACTTTGATGAACTTTTGGTTTCCATTTGTGGCTGATGAGTTTTTTTTGGGAAAGTAGTTGCAAATTTGTCAGCAATGTTTTTTTTCCTGGGTTATTTTGTTGTTATTTTTTGTGAGGTGTTTTATTGCATTAGAGAGGTATTTGCCGGCTATCTTCCTAACCATGTTCCATACAGTTTTTGTTTTTGTTGCAGAATTCAGTTTGTTGACATAATTTTTCCAGCTTTCATGTTTGCTGTCTTTTATTATTTTTGGGGGTTTTTGCCCATAGTTGTTTGAATTTTAGCATCTTTTCAGTTGTAGGCTCTTTTTTTAAAGTCTCTTAAAACTTTTCTTCTAAGTCTGATAGATGTTTTACACTTGTCGTTAAACCAGGGTCTATTTCGGTTCTTTTTGATTTTGCTTTTTGGGATGCATTTCTTTGCAATGGAAATCAGGGTTTCTGTAAATTGGGTTATGCTAGTTATACCTGATCCTTCTTTTAGTTTTTCGGATGATTGTTTTTGATATTCTTCCCAATTTGCTTTATTCAAATTCCACTGTTGGGATTTTTTGTCAGTTTGTTCTGAATTTTGTAGACAGATTGGGTAATGGTCGCTGCCATATGTGTCTGGCAGTACTTTCCAGGAGAAATCCAGAAATATAGATGGGTCGCATAAGGATAGATCTATCGTGGATTGGTTGCCTGGAAAGGGGCAGATGTAAGTCAGAGATTTGTCGTTGAATATGCATAAGTTGTTGTTTTCTATAAATGATTCCATGTTTTTCCCTTTTTTGTTTGTATTTTTACATCCCCATCTGGTGCGATTGACAGTAGAAATCCCCAATTAATATAAAGGGGGTGAAAAGTTGGTTTGTAATTTCCTGTAATTTGGTCTCATTCATCTCCTCATCTGGTGGGATATACACTGAACAAATGATAATTTGTCAGTGTAAAGTCACTTTTACAGCTGCTACTGGTGTAAATTTGTTTTTAAGACAATAAGACTTTGTGGTATGTCATTTCTGATTAGAATAGATGTAGCCCCTGATGCTCAAATATAATTATTAGTCTTTTATATTATTTTATTGTTATTCTTTAAGAAGGTTTCCTGAAGACATATTATAGCTGGGTTTAGGTCTGTAATTAGTAACGGCAGTTCATTTATATTTGCCTTCACTCCTCTGCAGTTCCATTGTAGAATTTTGTGTGATCTTCAGTTCATTGTGTTTTGGGGATTTTTGGGGGTTTTTTTTTTTTAATGATATATCCATCTCTTCTAAGGATTGTGGGGGTATTCTCAGTTGTCATGTTGCTAGGGTTTTTGTTTTGTTTCTTTTTTTCCAGGGGAGGATTTTGTTTGGCTTTTTGATTTGTTCTTGGAAGTTGATCATTGGCTCGGTTGGCTTTTCTCATGAGTTTGTATGTCTTTTTGAGTCACATCTTTTCCATGGTATGTTCTTTTCGAGAGTTCAGTTGTGGTTGTGTTTTCTGATTGTTCTTGTTCTATTTTGTTGAGAAGTAAAAATCTGTTTTGAGTTTTCAGGTTGTTTGCTGTAGATTCTTTGTCTTGGTTTTGCAGGTCTGTTTGCCTTCTGCTGATACTTTTGATTTCCTTTTTTCGAGTTTGTTTTGTGGTATTTGATGTGGAGTGTTCAGTTGTTTTTTGGTTATTTTTAGCTGTTGTCATCGTTTCAGGTTTGAGTTATGGTTAGTTCATTAAGTAGAATTCTCAGGTTATCTATTGAGGTTGAGATTTCTTCAGATTTGTAGTTAGTTTTTTCTATTGTTTCTTTTTTTGGATATTCAGGATGTTTATTTTCTGAGGTAAGCATAGAGAGGCATATGTTATTGTGGGTATCTGCATTTCGACAATTTTTCTTGCTTCTAAGAAAGAGATATTTTGTGAATATTTTGTTTTGTTGATTTCCATTTCTTTCTGCCATACTTTACATTCTCTTGAGCCTGCAGTTGTGCTCCTCTTTGCAGTTTGGACACCTAAGTCTTTCCCTGCAATCTTCTGGATGTTCAGTCTCTCTATTTCCACATCTTCTTCACACTGGATCTCTAGTACAAGTTTCTTTTTGGTGTCCATATCTTTGGCATCAGTAACACTTAAGTGGCATTGGTATGTAGGTCTCCACTTTTGCTATTGAATATCCAATTCTTATGTCCCTAGGTATTACAGGGGAGTTAAACGTTAATATATATGTGTGGGTTTCAATAAGTGTACCATTTTTTAAGTTATTCTTTTGACATACTTGCTGGTTTTTTAGGTTTGTTTTTATCACTTCCAGGGTGCATAGTGAGATTTCATGGCTTCTCACTACTCCTTGAAGGATAGAAAAGCAGCAAGCATTGACAAGATATTGGCCAAACTGATAAACCAGAGGTAGTGATAGATGTCATGACCAGAATTAGCAACAAAATCTGTCAGACAGGAATAACCAATGAGATAGACAAAGTTGCAAATAATTACACTACCCTCCCCATAAAAAACAGCCTAAAATTGTCAGAATTACCAAACTAACCATCTGATCAGCCAGATGTTCAAAGTAATCCTGAACAGATTCAGACCACAGGCAGAAATAGTCTTTTCCATCTTCATGTTCTGTGTGAGAAATATAGTCAATACCAATAAAGCATCTACCATATCTTCAAGATGGCATTTTACTGACTGTAATACAATCACACTAACAACTACAGTGCTTAAAAATTAAGATGTGCAAAAGTAAGTGAACCATGACATTTGCACTCTGTATTTTTGTTTTACATGGTTGCCTGTGCAAATAATTTTTTGTGTTCATGTAAAAATCAAAATGACACATGTTCATTTTATTTGTAATCTGTTTATACTGCAGTCAAACAATATAACTCATTGTGTATACATAAGTGTGCAGTTAGAGACTAAATTTAAAAAATATATATGCAAAGATCAAAAAAACTTCCTGAAGCTTAAAAAATCACATAGCTGAAACCTATAATGATGGAAATGGCTACAAATACCTATCAAAATGATTTGGAGTGCACCATGCAACAAATTATTTATAAAGTGAAGGCCTTTGGTATGATGGCATCACAATCAAGAATTGACTGTTTGCAAAAAATAACACCAAGAGCAAGTAGACAACTAGACAGTAAGCCCAGGCAAATCTTGCCGTGATCTTTGTGGTCTCCAATGCTCACTGGCCAATGTCGGAAACAATGTGTGTACATCTACAATGTGACGAAATCTGAACAATGCCGATCTTCATGGTAGAATGCCTAGAAAAAGCCACTGCTTACAATATAGCATAAGCATGCTCATTTCACCTATGTCAACTCTCATATTAATAAGGTAGATACATTTTGGCAAAGGGTTTTATGGCTGGATGAAACCAAACTAGAGCTTCTTAGGAGGAACAATAGGTAGTATGTCTGGCAAGCTCCTAATATGGCTTTTGAAGAGACAAATTTGATAGCAGCCATTAAACATGATTTAGGGGTGCTTTGCTGCAGCTAGAATAGGCAAAATTGTACATATTAATGGCACAATGGACTTTGCAAGATACCAAGCAATTTTGAATGAAAGTGTCTTGTCCTCAGTACAAAAGTTGGGTTTAGGTTGGGGCTGGAACTTACAACAGGACAATGATCTGAAGCATCAAAGCAAATTCACAAAAGAATGAGTTTGTAAAAAGAAATTTCAAGTCTTGGAATGGCCTAGTCAAAATTTTGATCTAAACCCAATTGAAAATCTGTGATTCAAGTAAAAGGCAGTGCATACAAGAAACCTAGGTAAAAATTGAGCAAGAAGAATGGTCAAAAATCGGCACTCACTACTGCTAGAAACTTCTTAAAAATTATGAAAAAGACTGGTTGACATTGTAACTTCAAAAGGAACAGTCACCAAATATTAATGTAAGGATTCACTTACTTTTGCACATCTTGATTTTTAATATTTTTATTCCAGCTTGATAAAATTTTTTGAAAGTGGTTACAACTGATTTAATAAAAGGTTTTTCTTAATGAATATATAGTTTAATTAAGATTTGTTGATCATCTAGAAAAAAAAAGAGAATTTTTTTTTTAAATAGTATCGTTGGGGGTTCCCTTACTTTTGCATAGCATAGTATACGCAAAAGCCAACAGTGTAGTCCTCATGAAAATGTCAGTGACTAGTTGCAAACATTGGTTGAGGCTCAAACAGCACATATCATTACAAATTTCAGTTTTGCTAATAATATTGATGGGCTATCAGGCAGTGAGAAAAAACTAAAAAAACTAATGAAGCAATTAGACAAAACCTCTACCAAACACAGAAAAGAGATCAGTGTTCAGAAGATAAAACTCAAGGCAAACAACAAGGACTCAATCAAGACTAAGATCAATGTCAGTGGATAATGATGAGAAACTTCACTAAACAGTCTAAGTACTTCAGCACCAGGGTAACTGAGTCCAAACCAAAGTACTGGAAAGCACTTCTAACAAGAAAGAAACCCATTGAAAGAGAACAAAGCTCCCGCATGCACTGGTTCTATTTATTTTCATATGTGCGTAGGAGTCCTGGTCTCTCACAGCAGAAGTGAGATGCTTCATAAGACTCCTTTGCATCTCTTACAAAGGGCCACATTGGCCAGTATGAGATTTTCCATGATTATGTTCGGTTACAGGTGACATGGTTATAGTGACTGAACAATAAAAAGCCAACAAAAAACACGATAACACACATTTCATAAAATTTGTTTAATACTAAATCAACAGATATAGCTATAAAAAAAAAAATTATGAAAAGAATATTCGGGAGATAGAGGAATTCACATGTACTAAGTGATAAATTTCTCAAATTCATAAAAATTTTCTACTAATTTTCATCTCCATAAAACAAAAATCACACACTATCATTCAAGAATTATTAAATTTATGTATAATTTATCCCACTGGAAGGCTTATTCAGTAAAGGAAATTACCCAAAACTTTCCCAAACTCACCGTGTTCTGTGGACTGTGAACAAGGCCCGGACTAATTTCTTACGATTTGTTTTAGTGTTGAAATTCATGCAGAAATCAACAGCATTCTGAAAAACATCAATAACACAAATTTCAGTGTCTCACCACTAACCAAAGTTTTTTTTTTTTTTTTATTAAAGCAGAAATTATTTTAATTGGTATTACAAATATTTTAATTATCAATGTATAATTACATAAAAACTGAGGTTTCCTTTTAGAATAATTTTTTTTTTTTTTTTAAATTTTCAATGTTTTTAAATTGCTATGAATAAGAAAATGATAATCACAACTGCAGCAAGATTGAAGATTGTTTTAGAAATATATCAACCACAGAAAAATTTAATAGAAATACATACATTATTAATCCTTTCCTTTTCAAAGGTTTATCTCAAACATAACCACCACAATTTTACTTACAATAATGTTTACAAAAATAATTTTTTATGAAGTATTACCAGTCAAGAAAGTACACTCATGAAATAAAAAGAAAACTGACATAAAGGCATGACAATCAAAGCAATGCAAGAAATAAAAACCAAGGATTTAAAAAGAAATATTCAAAACTGATTTATGCAACTACTTTTTGTTACTTAGTTCCAAAGCGTTTTACCTTATCAATAAGTTCTCTATTAACACAATTTGGTAATGACTGCAGAAATGAATCAAACTGAGCTTTCATCAAATGTCCAGTATCCCCTTCATCTTCTAAAAAAGAAAAAAAAAAAGAAAAAAAAAAAAAAAAGAAATTATTCCACAAAATGATGTTGCCACAAAAGCACTGAGACAACTAGCAAGATAAAACTCCTCTATAGTAGAATTTCACAAGCAAGTAGTAGATATGCAGCACTTTTGGACAAGTTGAAAAAATTAACAGGTCATTTTTTTTCTTTTCTCCACTTAGTAGGAACTTTGCCAAAAAATTAGATAAAAAGATAAATAAAAATAGATGAATTAAAATGTGAAATTCATGATAGGGTTTGTGAAGAAGTGGTTAGACAGCAGAAGAGCATCATGTTTATGCAGAGAAAAAACTGACCATATTTGGCTATATGCTTGTTTGGGCCAACTGTAAATAAAGTGATATGATTGAGTACTGAGATTTAGACTAGCCAACCAATCCTACAGAATAAGGAAATTCTAGAATTAAAAAAAAAAAAAAAATGATGTCCGTTTGAAAACCTAATCTAATGAATCTGATTCAAACAGTTGTTAGCAGCATGCAAATGAGACACCTGTCATTTTGTCATTTCAACTGTTTTTGATGTTTAGATGCAAAAAAAAATCTCTTGCCATCTTTTTTAGTGCCTTGATGAAGTGAAGAAAGAGCAAATCACTTCTGTACAAAATGAAATAAAGGCCAAGTAGCAAGAGTTGAAACTGTTTCTTTCTTTCATATCCTTTCACTAACCATTGATCTTAAAAAGGGATGGAATGATAATGTTACATAAACAGACTGAATACAATAAATGCAAGCACTATTACTCAAGTTGGCTGAAGGAACTGGAAGTTCACATTATAAAAACTATTATAACTTGGATCAAGTCTTGTTAGTAACATTTCATCACATTTCTTTATTGCAGAAGTAATAGATAGATTCCAAGCTATGTACATGAAAGACATTAACACAGAAAAGAAAATGTATATTATATTAGATGTCATTAAATTATATCTCATTTTTATTAAAAAGAAAAAAAAATGTTGTTATCTTTAATGCTTCTCATTTTACAAAATTTAAGGAAAAGAAGTGATTTTGTTTGCCCAAATAAGTAAAATATAGATAAAATTATAATAAAAAAAGAGTAGTGCCTGGCAAGAAAGGCTTGTAAATATTTCCTATAATGCATAATACTGACCCATATCTGGAGGGATCATATCCAACTCTTCTTCAATATCTTCCTCTTTCTGCCGTTCTTTACTCTCTTCTTTTAGCACAGGTTCCACAGGTAAATCTTTCTGTTCAAACTCCATTTCAGTTTCTATATCTTCAATCTTCAATGTTTCAATATCTATAAGCAAAACAAAATTTTTGCATTAAGAGACAAACATAATTGAAATATATTCTGAGAATTTAAAAATGGCCAGCAAAGTCCACTGTAAATCTCAACTGAGTAAATTACAAACTATTTTATGTAAATGAAACAATGGAATCAACACAAAATCATGCCTAAATAAATCAACAAGTAATTTCAACAACAATGGTCAGGTTTCAAAAAATCTAGTTTATTTGATAATGATAAATGTTCAAAAACTTGAAAATAAATGTTTTTAAGTATTTGTTGGTGATGATGATGATGCACCACATGCCAAATACAACACTATGGTTAATCAGTTGTCTGACAATCAAAATTTAGTTTAAGGAGAGAAAAATGTTTTATGCATAAGAAAAAAAAAAAAAAAAAAAAAAAAAAATCCTAATGAATTTTAAAAGTTATATCACTTTTGAGTATAGTGTAACAAGTGAATTAGGTGATTTGGGAGAGAGTAAGATGAACTAGAAGTTGAAAAGTCAGGATTATTAGCAAACAGTTCAGTTAACTGGTGTTTACCGAAAATCATTGTTGCTCAAAATTCAGTGAGTTTTTTTTGAGAACCCTTTGATAGCAGGGAATTGAGGATCATGAATGAAACCAAATCTAAAAAATTAACATCATTTGTACTATCACTGCTAATCTTCAAACATTAATTGTTTTTATTTTAATTTTCTGCTAGCAATTCACTAATCAGCATTTGATTGGCCAGTGGAAAAACATAATCAACTGACCAATCAAAGCTTGAATAAAGCTCTCTTGCTCATGAAAATGATGCTGGGTGAAGTGGGGGAATTGCCAAGCTCGTTGCTGGAGCAGATGTGCTAGTATATCACCACTTGGAAATTTACCATGCAGCTGGGATAGAAAACACAGCTGATTACAAATCACAATCAGTGACACTACCAAAACCATTCTTCCCAGACAAGATTGTCATGCAGGGTTCACAGGGATCCGTTTAAAAAAAAATTCCAGTGAAAAACATTGATTTGGAAATTCTTGCAAAAATCAAATGTTAGATGTTAAGGGAACTTTCAGGACTTATTCACAAATGAATGAAATTATTTTTTAAAGTTTTTGTTTTAAAAAAAATCTTGGTAAAAAAAAAAAAAAAATGTTTTTATTATGTTAAAAGCAAGACACCTTGGAGAATGTAAATCATCAATTTTTCTTTTTCAAACTGCTACTCATTTCCCAAAAATCTGCTCTGAATTATAAAATAAAAATGTAATAAAACTGACATTAGAAAAGCTTTTAATTGCTTTTATAAATAAGATTTATTAATAACACTATTATCTTAAAAAAAATTTTTTTTTTATGAATAATGAATTTTTTTTCTAACTGAATGAATTTGTAAGAATTTTGTCAAACCCAAACATGCATAAAAATGCTGCAAAGATCTAGTGTGGATTTCTGGCAGATAGGGCTATGCAAAATTTATCCAAAAAAGGAAATGTCAACAAAAGATTTGTTTGCATACAGAATTGCAACAAAGGCAATGTTCATCCCCATCATTGAGAAACTTCTGGCAAAGTCTCCCTTTTGTAAGGTCAATTGCATGGCTGAACCCTGGATTCATTTATGATAAAAAATTTGCTACAGAAAACTGTCTCAAAAGATGCCTTTTCCACATGATGGACAGAAAACAAGTCAGCAAGTCTGATTGTAATGACATTATCAATCAGTACAAAGAGTTCAAGGAGGAGGCTGCCGGAAATATTGCTTTCAAGAATTTCAGCAAGCATGAAGGCCGTCTGGACAATTTGTTCTATTCTTTGTCTAACAACAAAGAATGCCAAAAACTGGAAAGTTGTTCACAAATTGCCGGTACTCTATCATGTACAGGCCTCAGTAGAGAGAGGTTTCTCAGTCAATAAGGAAATTTTCCACTGACAATATTAAACAGCAGATTCTGGTTGCACAGTGCATTATCATGTACTATTTGGCCACAGTTGGGGGTGCTGGGAATGTTCCCATGATTAAGGCTCTTCTCTGCAGTGCTTCCAATGCCAGAACAGCATACAACCAATAACTTGAGGTTCAGTGGGAAAAAAGGCAAGAAGCAGCTGGACAAAAATGGAAATCCATGTTTATGGAAATTGAAGAACTGAAGACCAAAAAACACAAGCTTGAAAGTTGCACACAAGATTTGCTCAAGTCAACTGAGAGCTACACAGAGAAAGCTGAGCAGACTCAGAACTTCACACATCGCAAAGTCCAATGACATGTTAAGATCTGCAAAGTACAAATCCATAGAGATATCAAAATTGGAAGAGGAGTTGAATGCTAAACTAGATGAACTGAAAAAAATGTTGACATCATTGTGTTCTGTGCCATGTGCAACGAAAGCTATGAATAGTAGTGGTAGCTAAAATGTGTAGCCTTTTTGTGGATTTCTTTCTGTTCATTAAATCCATACTTCACAGGAAATGTGCAGCAATCAAGAATTTTTGTAACAGTCACAAAATATGAGTCTTCTAGATAGATGAAATGTGTAGTATTAAGAATTAAAGTGTGTACTTCAAAATTTTCAAATGTAGTAGAACTTCAAACTGTGTAAAATGGTACACAAAATATGTAACATAACCAGGTCTACATTCAGTTGTGTTTTAGTTTTGGATTTTTTTCACTGCTTTCAACTGATCCATGTGACATGAATTATTGGAACCAACTGTAGGTTTTCTTTCAACACCTCATTTGTCAAACTATTAAATGATAAATCACAAAGTTTGTCCACAGTTGGTATAATGATAAATAACATCTGCATCCTGGGTAAGACGATAAACTACGTCCAACAGCAAGGCCTCTGATCAGGAGATTTGGAAGATCATGGAACCACCTCTTAATTGCTGGTGTTCTCAGGTCCACCCTGACCCAGGGTGGTAGTACCTGTTAGGGTCCCAGCTATAGGTAAATAGTTAATCCCCAAACTGGAGACCATATATAGTTGGTTGTCACAGTGTTACTCCCTCAGTGCTTTCTGTGTCTCTACTGTGCTTAAAGATATGCAGAAAGGGATGTTGATGAGGGTTATCAGTAACACAAACATAGAAGTTCTTGGTTGAAATCTATCCGACTGGTCCATTTGCAGACAACAGTCTAATATTTTGTTTTATTTAAATAACTCTCTGCACGAGTGGAGAATTTTGATGTTTTTAGTGTGTGTATATTCTGTCAGAAAATGGACCAAAGGAAAGGTACCGTGACACTGTCAAAAGCTGTGTTCTATACCTGAGGTGGTTTACTATTACAATGTGACACCAAAGTATTAGCTGTGAGGTAATGAGATCCACAAATATGAGATTTGTCTTAAAGGCATAATTGATACAGTACTTTTTGGGGGGAGCTGAGGTAAGGCCTGATGTGTAATGTCAAGGTAAAAATGCCTGAAAACCAGTGCACCTCTAGGTTTGGGTTGGGGAGAGTCCCTGAGATCATCAACCAGCAAATGATCAGGGTTGATGGAGTCCTACACCATGTCAAGGATATACAACCCTCATCAAACATGTTGGAAGATATCAAGAATGCATGCTCCATAGAAGTCCATCTGGCTAGACTTGAAAGCATTTAATCAAGCTCCAGAGGTGAGTGATAAATAAAACTGTGGTTTCAATGTAATTTTGTGGACAATTCAGCAATACTGGACATTTTTTATCTCTTTATTCACTACGAGTTTTGTTGGTAAAAACTTTCTTTTTATTAAACCAACTTCACCACAAAATATAAATTTAAAAATTTCAATACCAGAGATAAAGCTATAAAATTATTAGAAAACTGATGAGATAACATCAAAAAAAAAAAAAAAATACAAACCTTCTTCTAGGCCAGTTTCATCTTCTTTTGTTTCATCCTTTGATGATGCATGTTCACTTTCTTTGTACAATATCTGAAAATAGATATCAAATTATATACGGCATATATGAAATAATTTTTTTTTAACAAGTCTGCAGCAATATACTAATACAATATTATTTTTAGACTAGATAAATCACAGCATCAGTGCCGATATTCAATGTATTGTATCAAACACCCTATTCCACTGTGTGTTATATTGTTTTTCACACAATTTTTAATATTAACCACAAAATGTCACTTTATTCATCCAGTTTTTATTATTTCATATGAATGAATAATCTTTAACTTTGATTAAAATTTAAGCTTTTTAATACAGAAACCATACTAGATTATTTGTCACAATGGTTTAAGTATAAAAGGATATTAATATATTCAATATTTTATAAGGATATCAAATTACAGGACAAATATATATTAAGTTTAAAATTGGTTTTAGTATTAATTCTTAATCAACATTACATCAGTATTATAAGGTAATTAGCCTAACACTGAAATTTTATTTAACTTGCTAAGAAAAAAAATGTAATTCTCTATAGAATATTTTATACTTGATTTTTAGTCTTGACCAAAAAAGTATAATTTTTATAAAGAAAATTTATGAAAAATTATCTACATTGAAAATATTCTACAAGGTGCAGCCAAAATATCCTTCTACATTAGCTGTATGAAGACACCATCGCTACTAATGTCTTACCATTATGTGGAAGCTATTTCTGCCACATCCCATCATTTATTCTAAATGATTAACTGATCAAGTTAGTTAATTTCAGTATTTTACAATATCTTCAGAAATAGCTATATTTTATTCCTCATTTGCATAAGTAATCTCAATGGTTGACTATCAATTCTATTGATTTTATCAGCTAACATCAACGAACCTTACTAACCCTTATACACATCTTCAAATAATCTATTCTCAATAGGTTTATAATACATAGACTTACATCAATAAGCAATAACTAAATAATGCATTTATTCATAGGAAAACTCCATCCTTGAACAGCAAACTGCATAAAAGCCAAAATAGAGTTCATAATTTTTTTTAAAACTCCTAAGCAAGTTTTCCATATATTTTCTGGATTAGAGTCTTTACTTTTATTGTTTTTAACAGCATTTTATTCAGACTTCCTTAGGTGTATGTTGCATTTAATTCATTCCCACCACCTTTCCTCTTCAGCATCACAATCCAACAGTTACAGAACTACTGGGAATTAAAGTAATAATGTTAATAGTGTTATTATGAAAACAAGTGAGATTAAAAGAATTCTTCCTCTCATCAAAGAATTAGCTTGTTTTGACATCTATTGTAATAAGTTAACAATCTCTTGAAATGGCCTTGTGTTGAAAAATACTAAAGACTGGATGCAGAATAACCTAAGGAAGGCCAAAACACTGTGTTAAAAAAGACAAAGACAAATGGTACAAAAATATATAGTACAATAATTTATACTTTTTAAATAAATAGGTTTATATTAATGTATTTTTAGTTAATATCAATGAGAAAAGTGATTTAAGAAAGAAATTTAGACGTCAAAATATGCCGTAAATACTATTCTGTAAATCCCTTCTGTGAACAATTCTTTATAATTAACTTCTTTCCTTATGAAAAGTGTTTCAAGTTTCACTGAAATAATGACCTAGTTTCACCGATTTTAACCAATTTATGCCCATTGTCTCACTGAGTAAACATTAGACTACCAGTGGGTTTAAGTTTGAAAGAGATGTTTTGTGTATGTGGAGATGAAGATAAAGTTCACTACTGACAGCAACCAGTTGAAGGTCAAAATTGAAGTGGACGCACACAAAACAACTCAAGACATTCCAGAAGAATTAAACACTGAGAATAGTTGTTAGACACTTGCACCAAATTGAGAAAAAAATTAAAAAGATTTGCCTTTATGAAGACTGTTATTCTGTGTAACAAAATTATCTACTTTATACAACAATGGTGTTGTGCATGGTGATTGGAATGAGGTGAAATGCAAAAATCAAATCCCCAAACTAAAGCTGCATCAAAAAAAAAAAAAAAAAAAAGATCATTGTTAGTCAGTGAGTGAGATTATCCGCTACAACTTCTTGAATCTGGGTGAAATGCACCAAGTACCAACTAACTGAAAAGGATCAATTCTTCTCCATGACAATGTCAGATTGCATGTCTCACAAACAATTCTGCAGAAATTGACCAAACTGGGCTATGAAACTACCTCACCCAGCTTACCAGATTTTTTTTCTAACCAGTTACCATTATTTTTTGCAAGACAGTCTTCAACTACCAGGTAGAAGCTCAAAATACCTTCAAAGGCAGCATCAGTTCAGGAGACCAGAATTCTATGTTACCAGAATAGACTTGTCCATTGTTAGTAACAATATGTAGATTTTAACAATTCTTAATTTAATAGATTTTATCCTAAGCCTCTTGCTACTCTATTGCTATTTCTATGGCAAATGTTCTGACAAGCCTACATTTATTATTTCCATCAGTTTTTCAGACCTTCACAGCTAAGACCCAATATGCCATGTACACTGGAATGAATCATCTCCATGTCCTTTGTATTCCATTAATAAGAAGGAAGTTCAATCTGGACAACTTCTTCCTCAAAACTGCTACTTTGTGGAACAGACTTCCAAGAAGATATTTTCCCAAACACTACAATCTTAACTTCTTCAAATCTAGAGTTAACCATTATCTCTCTTACAAAGCCTCATAATCTGCACTTCTCACTTCCTTCTCTTACCTTCATAGAACAACCCCATTCAGTAACACTCCACTCTGAATGGCTTTTGGTCCTTGTCAAGATCCACTGCTCTTACGTTAATGGTTAAACTTGCAAACATTTTTGTCTCAACCTAATATATATTTTACAAAAATCAATCTATCACAATGCAGAAATATTTTATATTTGTTAATAAATTTAAGAGAATAACAAATCTAGGAGCAAATTACCCCAGGAATAAGAGAACGAAGATCAGGAAGAGTTTCATAAAAAGTCCGTGTATCTTCATCTTCAAATAGACTGGTATCTCCTTCATACTGAAACTAATAAAAAGATATTTACATGATTAAAATTGGATAGAGAATAAAAGTTGTTCCATAAAAAATAAAAATGATATAAAAAGAAAAAATTGAATAAAATCAAGGAGAATTAAAATATGAATTTCTTAGATTAGAAATGAAACTATTTCATAGTTTTATTCCAATGAGATAAGTAAAAGATAAAATAGTGTAATAGCAGTAGTTTAAGAAATTTGATAAGCTGTATGATTCTGAATATAAATGGACAGTGGAATGCTTAGAAATTAGTGCCTTTTCTATATATTTCTGTTTTAATAAATTACTTTTTCTTTTAATTAAAACAGCATTAAATCAAAATTATGGTTAGACTTATTATAATGAATAACTAATTCATTGAGCATGTTGCCTTGTAAAGATCTCTTTTATGTTCATATATTCTTCGATTTAAATTCAGGTATCATTTATGTATTTCTTGTGACATTTTTAGTCTATACAATAAATTCTTGGTTCAGGTTTTAGGTTGTTATTGTTTTGTATTAAATAGCTCATAGATGTGCATTGTGGTGTAATGGGTATTGGCTTGGAATGAGAACACAGAGAGCCATGTTTGAATCACAGTCAAGCTTGTTATTTTCACTTGGGAAAGGTATGAATCCATCTCTCCTTCCTCAGCTGTGGGTTGAATAGTAGGACAGACTGGATTCTTTAGCCTTGGTTGGCAACCAGTCTACAGCAGAAAGAAATGGCAATCTGATGCGGGAAAAATCTTCTGCTTTGTCAGTCATGAATCGAAAGATACATGATCGCCCAAGTGTGTATCACGTGTAGCACTTAAATGACTGATTAAATAGCTTATTGTTTTTCAAGTAGCTGTAACAAATTTTATATTAAGTTGAGATCAAATAGTTATATTATTTACTTTTCTAATTCTATGAATCCAATGACTTTTACAATAAGCATATGAAATAATTAGGATACTGGAGGAGTTTAAAAGCATTTCTATTGTATATTATATATACCATTATATAAATATTGAGGGCTACAAATTCTAACTGCTCATAAAAAAGCCAATAATTATTCCAGATTTTATTTTGTTGCTATAATGTATAATTATAAGTGACATTTGTTGCATTTCATTCCCTACTCCTACATATATATATGATACTATCAATAAAAATATTAAACTGTAAGAGTCCTGTTGACCCACCAGTTTTTACTTAATGACATTTTCAACACTCATGTCACAAACTTTTTTGAAAATAGATTTTACACACATAGTTTAACTTTTCATAAGAATTCAAATATTGTATTTAGTTGAAATTTTTATAATTCTGTTAACCATGTTTTTTTGCTTAATGGTCCTAGTTGTTTGAGTGAAAGGATTTTCAATTTCCATTACCTCCAGTTACTCATATCTATTTAGAGTTAGATTTATTTATGTATTTCATTGCTGTTCTTGTTTTACAGGGTATTCTGTTTTATTTTTCTGCTTTGTGGCTTGTGTTATTTCACTCTCTGAAGATATACTAAGTTGTGTTTTTTTTATTAGTCTTTTTTGCTTTATTTCTTTGTGGAATTTGAGTTTCTTATTGAGAAAGTGTTGTAGGAGTATTTTGTTTTGTTAACTTGAGGATTTCATTTATTTGAATTTAGTTAGAGAGTTTGATGCAGATCTTTGAGTATTGTCCTTAACTCGTTTATATAATTTGTGAGTTGTTCTGGTTTAAGGATTTTTTTGTTGTTTAAAAACAGTGAATTTTATGTCTATCAGCCTGTTCATTTGAGATTCTTCGTAAAGAGAGTGTGTTTTCCTGTAGGGTTCATACCTGTAACACTCTTGTAGACGAAAACACTGTCTAGCCTGGTGTGCTTTAGACTACTCAGTCATGGAAAGCTTTCAAACATAAGCAAGGTTGAACTACCCCATTTAAGAAATGCACATCTCATATTTGAAGCCCTTAAAGCCCATATCTGTTAACTTTATTTCTACATCCAAAATATAAACAAAGTAATTTCTAGGAATTAGTGGATTTTATTTATAATCTAACATTATTTCTTATTACTTTAAACGTTATATTCCATTTTTTTTTTTTTAAAACTCTCAAATGCACAGGCTAGTAAATGTAAAATTACATTGTTTAAAAACTGGGAAGTCTACTTAAACATATGTATCTACTAAATACTAAAGGTTGATAACTTGGGTGTAATTAAAGATTATTAAAAAGAACACACATCATAGAATGAATTGTAAATAAAATCGTAAACAGATCCTGGGTAATCTAACAAATTCAGAACTTGCAATATTTTAAAATTACATCAGTCATTCCAACAAACAGGATTGTGAGATTTTAGATGCAGAAAATAAAGACAACTTAAAATAAAAAATATCCTAAAAATTAATTTACCTCTGCATTTTTCAATGGATTGAAAATATCGAACATGGCACCTTCTGAATCTGGTTTTAGTTCTGTAAAAGAATTTTAGAATATATATTAAAAAAAAAAAAAAAAATAAAAAATAATAAAAGATGAACAAGAAACCTGATATTGCAGCAAATTTGTTTCTTGTTATACTTAAAATATAAAATTCATTGAATATTATTGAGCTTTAATAAATTTCATTAATTTTTTTCACAGTTGAAATATGTATTAACATTACAAATGACTAAAAAATACCCACACAGTTGTTCAGATTTTGGGAAAATAAGCCTATTCCACATTTTGTACATATTTCTTTACACTTTCACAAGTAAGCTGACAATGAAAATATAGTTTTAAAAACTGTTAAAAGAACTTGCTGTGAAGTTTATTGTCATTGATTTTTAAGAAGCAACTGATTAATGTAAAGTGTTACATAATAAAAGCAAGAGTAACCAATCAATGTTGGCAAAATTTTCAGTATATACTTAGATTTATATTATAAATATACTTTGTGAATTACAGTTTATGTTTTTATTAAAAATATTGAGTTGGCCAAAAAGTCTGTTTGGCTTTTAAACACAAAGCCATTTATTCAAATCAAATAATTACCGTTTCATTCCAGTATCTTCTGCCATCTTGTGGGCAGATTCATTATTCCCTGCTCAAAGAATTTCCTGTCTATACTACTGAAAAACACTTCCAGATGAAGTTGTCTGCCCATTCAAAGAATTTTGAAAAATACAAAACAGGTGGAAATCTGAAGGTGCAAGGTCAGACAAATATGGAGAGTGTGACCTAGAGTGATGAAAGACAATGCCGTTAAGTGCTGGACCCTTTTGGTGGATCGCCACTTTTAATTTCTCCAGCTGGTCACAGTACACATCCAAATTAATAGTCTTGTCCACAGGAATAAGCTTGTAAAATCAACACCATTCCCACCAAATGAAAACCATAATCTTTTTCAGGTGAAGTCCTACTTTAGGTTATTTGTGGTGGTTCATCGTGATTCCCCAATCATTATTTGCACTCCACATTGTTATAGACAATTATTTTTTTTTTCTCTTCTGTGACTATGCCCATCCCCACCCAAATAGAGGATCATTTTCTTACTGCTTCTGCAACAAATTGCAGATGGAAATTCACTGAGAAAAGTTAAACTCATTCAATTGATGTAGAACCCAAACAGCAAGCCTGCTGACAAAGTCGATGCAGATGGCTTTCAACACTTGATTTGGATAATATCTGAAATCATCCTGGTTGTATAATGAAGGTGGGTGTCAACAAACTCTTTAATTTTGTCACTGTTAATCTCAGTTGGCTGGCCAAAGTGAGGTGTACCATAAACCCAAAACTTTCCTGACTGAAATCTTAATTTCTTCTGGCACAAGTGTCGATAATAGTTGTTTTGCTTCTCCATTTTCAGAGTGATTCCAAACACACAAAATCCAACCGATCTTGTTACAGGTTTGCGAGCCTGCTAACATAACTAAGTTGTTGCAGATAGTTTTTAACACTTGACTGGGATAATATTGTGTCAAACTATGTTGCTGGGAGAGACAAATGCAGAGAATTATTCTAAGTTTTGGGACAAAAATTCTAATTTTTAGGTGCTACAGGTTAACCAAGTAGATTTAAGCTGAAGAGTATATGCATGCAAGACAATATTCATGCAGAGTCTGCAAAGCTGATTATAAACAACTGTGCCAAAAAGATTTCAAAGACATCAAATTAAGCCTCTAATCCAAATATAAATCCAACAGAAAACTTGTGGTCCATCATTAAAAGAAATGTAAATGACAATGGAAAACAAATTCCAAACAAAGAAAACCTTGGAAAGCAATAAAATGGACACAAGTAATGTTAAAGTCAAAACAGTAAAAAAGCTAACAAAATCAATGGAAGAAAGACTGAGAAACATTTTAGATTTATTTACAAATAAAAGTTTATATTTCATTTTACCTAATACAATCCTGACACGATAAAAACAAGTTATTAATATTTTTAATATGGATGGATATTATAAGCCGAACCTCATACAATATATTGTATGATTTATTAATAGCAATTTGATTGTGAAAACATTGATTGCATAATAAGATTCAGTTTTGTTAATGTTGAAGTCAATATCCTATAATCTCAATATTAAGCAGTACAGAAATGCACATCTCATAATAAATTTATGAGATTTTTTTTATTTACCTTCTTCAGGGAGATCAGGAATGTCTTCATCAAGCAGATCCTATAAAAAGAAAATATCAATAAATGCTAAAGAAAAATCTGTAATTTTGAAGTTGTTTCAGAGAAATGTTTAGTATCATTAAGTTACTATAATTTTCAGTTCAAGCACCAGCACCAAGATTATGTGTCATATACTATTTGAACATTTCAGTAGAAACCCATTTACTTTAAATTGATAAAAAGACACAACATCAAAATTAAATAGTCTAGCATTTGATATTATTTTACTAATGAGCAATATCGAGACAAATCTAAAAATATCAACACCAAATGCATTAAATAAAGGAAGTAATATTTTTCTCTCCAGTGGATTTACTCGGTGTTTAGTCTAAATTTTTTAGATGAGCTTATTAATCCCACTAGATATTATTATTGTACACTCTTTCTATAGAAGTTCATGTAAAAAATGAACCTGCCTTGTACCATAAATTGTTTGAACTTTACTACATGGTTAATTTTCCCCCCTTTTTCAGACAAAATTAAAAAAACTAAAAGAACCATTAACTTGCAGCTTCCATAAGCATGTATGTCATCCTCCAATAGTTCTGTAATTATGATGAAAACTGAACTCATAATAGTAATTTTTAATTTTTATCATTTTGCTAGTTATCTTGAAGTAATTCATACCAATGCAAATTTGAAATTTAGTGATTGAATATTTAGGTCAATATGCATCCAGGTATTTTTGCAGTGTCATTTTTTTTTTTTTAAAACAGTGGGGCATATTTGTTCCCATTATGTTGAAACCAATATTTTTTAGTTTTCATAGTATTTGAAATATTGATATTGAAATTTTTACAGTTAAAAACATAAATAAATGTATGAAATTTTGTGTTTGTATTATAAACTAAAAATCCTGACATATAATAAACTAAGAAGTCACGTTGCAGCACTATTTTGTCAAATACAGGAATGTATTAAAAGAAAATTATTTTGGTTATATGACTCACAATACATTCATCAATAATCTACCCAAATATACCAGAGGAAAACTATCAAGTAGAGTTACTATTATAAGCAAAGACAAGTTCAAATGTCATTTGAAGTTGCTTTGGGAAAGGTATAAATTCACATCACACTGCTTGTACAGTGGCCAGATAACTTGACAAAAACAAAAAAAATATAGCTGGCATGTCACATTGATTGACAGACAAGAAAGTTAATTGCTGAACTCTTGGACAAACCATTGTAAAAAGTGAATACCAGTTGGAGTTTTTAGTGTGAGAAAAACAATTACACAACTTATATGGTATAAAAGGACAGAAACAAAGGAATTATGGGTAGTAGTAGAAAGAAAGAAAGAAAGAATGACCAGGCAACATTCATGTATTTTTCTCAGCTGACATGCAAATGAGGGCAATTAAAGTGAAGGCAGGAAGGAAAGTAGAGAAAAGAAAATGAGTTCAATAAACTGAAAAGGATTGGGGGGGGGAGTGTTCTACAAGCAATCATTCTGTTTCAGTGGTGGGAGAGAAGACAGGAAAACTTATTAAAACTACTAAAACTACAACTATTTTAGCAGTCACAGGAAATAGAAGGGAGAATGAAATTGAATGGTGACATAGGGAAAACTTAGCTGCAAAGAAAACATGAGCAAGGGGATAATTACTATGATACAGGAGAATGTGGAAGATGAGAAAAAGGAGAACACTTTGGTGCTCTACTTCAAAATGAGTGACCAGGATAAGTTGAATTCAGACATGAGAGAGTACATGCTGAAAAATGGATTTACAGTTACAGGCTTTTATAGTATATGTGAAGCTTGGAACGATGAGATGGACCAGAGAGCTAGTGGACATGTATGCCAACAATATCAAGAGGTTGTCAAGATTAACAGAATTCATGGGAAAAAGGCTGGATCAGATTGTCAAGCTGACATTCATCAATACCTTCCTAGATAGTTTTTCAGTAGCCCTCCAGTAATTATCCAAGATAGGTACTTTGGACATAAGAGATCTGATAACCACTGCTTGGGTAATGGCAACCCTTAGAATGCAATAGCTTGGAACAGCTGTAGCTGCAGGATAGAGCCCAGTTGTTAGCAAAGAATAAACAAATAAGAATAAATAAAGAAGGGAAGGAGCAAATGAGAAAGTTTAGCAGTTAACATTTCAGTCATAACAGACTTAAATCAATTTGTTTTGGATATGACAAATCAGGGCACATTACAAGAGATTGCCAACAGGGAAATGGACATGTGAGAGTTACTGTACCAGTGGATACAACTTTAGTCCAACAATGGTATACCAACAAAAATGTTGGTAAAGAGAAATGGAGCAAGGACCCTTGTCAATATGTGGTGTAACATTATAACCTCAAAGCTGAAATAACTAGAGTAGAAGGAGCAGCATAAAGGTAGTTGACAGAACTAGCTGTAATGGGGATAGTTGGGAGGTGCTTAGGCACCACTGACAAGAATGCCTGGAAAGTAAAGAAGGTACATTGTGTGTGTGTGTGTGTGTGTGTGTGTGTGTGCGTGTGAGAGAGATCAAAAGTCACAAATGATGAGAATGCTGAAATGATCACCTGCAAAACTGAGGACAAAGACTTCTATCCTGTGTTTAACGGAGAGAAGTGGATGACTGGGTGGAACTAGACAGGAAGGACCTTAATGTGGAAGAACATAGTGGGCTGTTACAAAAATTCAACTGGAGGAGAGTGCCAAGTTTCAAATAGAAGTGGAAAGATGGATTTAGGTGGAAATTCTCACAGAATGGAAAGATGTATGCAATATAATATTGTTGATGGCTGCGGTCTAACCCAATGTTTCTCAACTTTATTCTGGTCATGGTCCCCTTCAATTCAATGCGAGTTCTTTATGGCCTCTCATGCCAACTTGAGTTCTTATCTCCTTTCCTCTCTGTCCTGTCCCTCAATACATCTAGGGAAGTAGGAATATTAAAGGTTGTAGTTTGGATAGTACTATGGCATCAAAACACTAACTCCAGTTGTAAATCAAAGAATATTATTTGGATAAATATTTTGTTTGACAAACTCATTTACAAAACAAAAAATACATGTACCATCAGCTCTATCTTGTATGGTTTCAATGGGACCCCTGGGACTGATGCAAGGCTGTCAAATTGTCAATGTTTCGCTTGAAAGCCATCAGAGAGAGATGTAAATCACCTCTTTTTTCTATGTCAAGGCAATTTCGAGTCTTTGACAGCAGACGCATCATCCAAATAAAATGTGGGAAAAGTGAGTAAGAGCAACTTCACATTTTCCCAGAATAGTGGGTAATTCTTATGCATGTCTTCATTCATCCACAGCTTTTGGTATCCTCCATGCTTGAATCTTGCTTGAGCTGCTGTTATTTTGAAGTTCAATAAAACTTTCTTGTAGGGTGATATTAACTTCAGCAATGAAGAGATCCACAAACCAGTGTGGCACTTTCATTTGGAGTAGATCAGAGAAGCGAGTTTTCAAATTATTATGCATTTGCTTCAAATTATCAACATACACTGCTAGGTTATCATCAAGCAGCTCGGTGGAATATATTTGCTAAGGAAGGAAGAAAGGAAAACTGAAAACTCCTGTATGCCAAGGTTCAACCAGAACAGCATTATTTTCCCATTAAATATGTTAGTTGCTGCCCTGCAGGAATACAGGGTGGAGATATCTCCTTGGGGCTCTTTGTTCAGGACATTTCGCTTTTCAAAATTGAAAAACAAGTTGGTGAAAACATAGCTTAATTTAAACTTTAAATATGACTGTTAAATTTTAAGAAATTGAAAACTAAAAATGACTATTTTGCATAGATCAGATGAAAAAATTACAATAAATACATACTTACTTACTTTTTTTTTACAAAAATGGCTTAAATCAATTTAATATTTAACTTAATAATAAATTTAATATTTTAAATAATAATTATTAATTACAAAATACTCCATATATATTTTTTTGTGGCTCATAAATTTTCCGTGACCCATATTTCAAAATTGGCTTAGTGATGGCTCAGGCTGAGAAACCTTGGTCTAAGAAAAAAAAAAAAAGAGAAGCCATCTTTGTACTGAGAATTGAACAGCTATTGACATGCCTTACAGAGAGTGACTTCATCAATTTATGTGGAAAAGCAATGCAAAAATGAATGGAGTCACATGACAGGTGCTTCTACTATTACAGATCTGATGTTGGCCCACCTACCGATATATATGGCAAAAAGATTACGGAAGTATCAGTTGATATAAAGATATGCAGTAGTATTAGATTAGGGTTTCAGACGAATGTTTTAGTGATACTAGGTACTAGGAGAGGTGGATGGAACAAAAAAACGCCACCAATTTCTATAGAGATGACATGGCGGATAAGGCAACAATACCTGCAGTCATCTAAGAAAATTTGGCTTATGGACCACAAATTGTTGGAAAGAGTGGGTGGCACCGAGTTTTCAAATGGATAATGACAGAGCAGGCAACTTGATGTTTAAAATTTAGAAATGAGGTTCTGGAAGTGGCAAATGACATGAGCAGGCAGGAAGTGTTTTCTGCTCGCAGAAAGCTGTTTGGATAACTACCCCAATTGCTGGATGGTTTCAGACAGCATGCCATTATTTTTTGTTTTATCATTTAAGCCCAAGCAAGGTGAAAATGCCATTACAATACAAGGGGTACTTGGAACAAAAGAGAATGAGAAGACTTTAGATGAAGGAAGGGTAAACCCAATCCTAAACAGGAAATAAGGGATAAACATCTACTCCTGTTTAAAAGGAATGTGAATCGGGTGATAGGCAAACCTATCTATTAGTAGTATGGAGCGATGTGAACAGTGTTATCACGGATTTAAGAGCAGAAATCAAGTGTTGTGATCAAAGACAAAGTCTGGTCAAAGAACAGGGTTAGTCACATAGGAGGATATCCGGAGGGTTGTCGGACATCAGTCAATATATGTTCATGGAAAAGGTAACATTCTCATAAAATCCCACTGGATGAGGCTGGCTATTTGATATGATCCACTATCAAAGAGAGATGTATTTAACAATGATTGACTGTGGTTTTGGATGAGTTGCAAGGGAGATCCAATCAGAGACTGTAACTATAATAGCAAGGGGGCTCAAGGAGATCTTTTGGGAACAAGGACTAGCGGAAGAAGTCTTTTGGGACAATTGTATGGCATTTTTTTTTTTTTAGAAACTCTTTGAGTAATGCTGAACAAATGGAACATCAGATGTTATTTCAAAGCTATCTGCAGAAACATCCTTGTGAAGAGACACCACTGAACAGCAGTCCACAAATAATCTATTAGTTGATAGTGTAACCAGACAAATTCTACCTTTAAGATGAGAGTTTGAGGAAATGGAAAATGGTACTTCTAAACAAACTAAGACAACATTCAGAAAGACTGATGGTTGTCCTGTTGGTTGTATGCTATGCAAAGGTGATACTTGTGATGCAGAGGTGTGTAAAGAAAAGTGCATACTAATTAAGATGCTTGCATTGAGAAAAAAACAAAAACAAAAAAAAAACAAGGTTTGGGTGGTATGTGTGGGTGTAATCAAAGAAATTGTGAGTAGTAATAAAAAGAAGAAAGTGTGACTGGGCAACATTCATTTTTTTGAGACAAATATTAAGAGCAGTTGGAGTGAATACAGAAAAGAATAGTGTTTGATAAAATGAAAATTAATTTTTTTGCTATAACCAATCATTGTTCCAGTAGTTAGAAAGACAGGAAGACTTCTGAAACCACAATCACTATTATGACTTACTATTCAAAGAGTAGTAACAGTAAATGGCTTTAGTAAATCTACTTTGACTAGTGCTGGTGAAATACACCATATATCAGGGTACAATAAGTTACTTTTAAGAATATTTGGTGATTCCATGTCACGATAGATTATTTAGGGTTATTATTTCTTTATAAATTTAAAGCAATAAATTATTGTCAACTTAAATTTTAAGAAGATTGTAACTTACTGCCAATGTGTGAGTGTTCTGCTGAAGCTTCTGATAATTTATAATAGCAGCCTCATAATTTTCTTTACGTTCATTACTCAATTCACCTTTAGTCTGAAAGGAAAAAAAAAAAAAAAAAATAGCATTACACAAATACTAATTGTTTTATCAATGAATTAAAAGTTGCATTCTTCATCACAAATAAAACATTTACTTTACATCTACATATCTGTATTCTTTCCACTTCCAAAATAAAGGTCCATCAGAATTACAAATATCTTCAGTTTTTATAAAAACCAAATATTGATAATATCAGAAAGCCTAAATCATAATCAAACTATTTCAGGCATAAAATTGAGAGTTTTGAAGGAAATCAACATTCCTAGGGGGTCAAAATGTGACAAAGTCCATTGGTAATTTTTCATTATATGACTGTCAGGGGTTAAAAAAAATGACACCTGGCCATGGAAATCTTTAGTAAAAGGTGAAAGATTTATCTGCAATTCCTGACCACCAGAAACCTAAAGTTTTTTGTCCTAAAAATAGCAGCAATAAAGAAAATTAAGCCAAATTGACATGTCTGGGTCAAAGATCAGCCAGCCAGAAATAAACATTTAGAACAAGTTGTCGTCATCTTATAATAAAACCCACCACTCCCAGAAAAAGAGTCAACATTGGTAGGGCTTGATAGAAGGTTTGTTTTTTTGTTTTTTTTTTCAAACCTATGTTTGAACAATGGCTCGATATGTTTTGTTTTTAATACCTCGTTGATAATGAAGCCAAATGACCTAACAAATCAGTTTAACATGAAAGCAAAAAGCTCTTTAAAAGCAATAAAAATAATCTGAATAACAATCACCAGTAAGATGTTAAGTCCGTGACTGACTTTAAGATTAATTTTAATAAAGAATGTTTTAAATTCTAAATAGGCTTAATTAATATTTCATTTGATTTTATGCATAATGAAACAAAGGGTAAAATCCAAAATTAAAATTTTAAAAATGATACTCTTAGAAATAAAAAAAAATACATATCTTACAATGAAATGCATTCAAATTTCAATGAAATGCTGTACCTGAAGAATCTTTCGGTTTTGTCTTTCAATAGTCTTCAGTTCTTTGTGTAATTTTTTCAAATGCTTACACAAAGTAGTATAGTATTCTTTTAGCAAATGCCGACAAGCCTTTTGGCGCTCAGGTGGCAACATCTACAAATCAAAACGGTAAAAAGCACAGGACATTAAACACAGTAATCATGATATTAAAAAAGATTATACAAGGCATCATGTGCACTTATATCAGTTTGGTATTTTATTTGCAAGACAATAGTTTTTCCAACCCTAATTTTTTTTTTTAGCTTAATATATCAACCAAAAATACCTTTATTTACAAGTATAGGTAAAACCATACCAATATATTTCCACTGAATTAAATTTATTATATAGAACAGACAGAAAATACTACTGTTTTCAGTCATAAAAATAAGCATGCAATTTTAATAAGTTGGAGACTAACAAATTATAAGCATTGATCAATCAGAAAATGACTTTAAACTTTAAATGCACATCAGCTATTTGAACATTACCTAAATTTAAGATTTCTGACCTTAATAAGAAGAATAAATTTAAAAAGAGGTTACAAATTTAAAGAGATTTGGATGTACCAGCCTGAAGGTTAGTCTTGATATGTATTCAAATAACACTGTGTATGTAGGACAATGATCTCTAACAGTTGTTAGATATGAAAAGGTACAGGCCAACTGCATAAACTTATGGAAAAATTAGTACAGAATTATTTAATATTTATGTTTTCAAATATGCAAGATTAATTATAGTTACATAAAAAAAAGTAAAATCTACTTGTAGGTGATCATTGAAAATTTTAAAAATGGCATTGCTTTTCATGAAAGATTTATTTAGATAACTCTGTATAATTTTTTTTTTTTTATACTAGGCTTCTTTTAATCAAAGTTATTTTTTGTAATAAATGTTAAACTTTCTCCAGATAATTTAATGTCTATAAACCAATAAGTCTAAAATGAATAGATTTATAAAATTTGGAATAATACTCATACAATAATTATAATAAATAAACTTACATTGCTTCTAGCAATTTCTAGATTGTGCTTCTCGGCCAGAATCCTAAAATTAAAAAGGAAATAGAAGTTAGGAGTATTGTGCTTTAAATAGAAGGGGAATAGTGACTAACAGTTAAAAGTGTCTCAAATTCATTTTACACTTATCAATAATTCTAAAAACATATCTCTCATTATTTAAAATATCTAAATTTCATTGAGTGTGTGCATCTCTCAATACATTAAATACACACTAGAAAACATGAGTAATACAGCAAATAATACTTACAGAATTTGCATTAAACCTCTCTGCTTTGTATCTCAATAACTAAAGCTCTCAATGAGGTTAAATGCGTTACAATTTAACAAAAGCCATTTCTCATACAAAGGAAATACCAATTCACACAAAGACTTTAAAAGCATAAAAATGTAATTGAATTGATATATGTGATCCTGCTACTATCAGACTTTTATCTAGCATTCTGCTATGAACAAAACTGAGATAAATTGAACTCTTGAAGTCTATCAAGAAGCTAAATCTCCCAAGTTTCATATACTGAATGCAAAATTCCTAACATAAAAAAGTCCAATAATTACCAATCTTGTTACCTAAAACAGAGCAAGCCTTAATGCCAAAAAGGGGTCAGTATGCCAATAGACTTCATCAACCCTAACTATGGAGCTTTGATGAAACCCTTTGATAGAAGTGATCCCCACCATTAACACTAGATGGAATATGCTGCGATCCACCACTTATAAGAATAAGATACCACAAATAGAAACATCTGCTACTAATATGCAAAGAGAGATTTTGCAATCATTAACCAAGCTGAGAGTGAAATATTAAGAAATATACTTTTGGGAGATCATACTGTATTTGAAATTTTCTTGCAGACCTGTATGTTACAGAGTACTGTAATTCTGTGTTACTCAACCTCACAAATTTGAACAGAGGGGAGAGAGAAAAAAGTTTGTGTAGCAAATACACTCCCTTGCCAAAGATAAAAAAAATAAACCAAAATGTATCATGTGTAGAAAGGAACACAAGATATGTTATCAATGAAATCCTTAACTTAAAATTTTTAATCAGAATTTCTGGTCAACAGATGTCTTTGACCAAAGTGTGAGGAGACAAATTTGTCAATCCTGGGCACAACAATGAACTCAAATTTTTGTAATTCTTCCCTCAGAACTCTCTAAATTCAAAGAATATAAACAAAAATCTTTTAATTAAAAATGGTCAACTATTAATTTCAGAAACATTGTTAGGAAAATCTAAAACATGTTTTAACAAGGGTTACTGATAAATTAGTGAACAAGAAATAAAAACTAGATATAAAGAGGAAAAAAAACAAAACAATGAAATTCAAATAAGTTGACCAACCTGTAACGTCTCGGTACAATCCCTACATAATCATCTCCACAATGCTTACAGAAGCTGGAGATGATAGACAAATTATTGTGCTCTTCTTTGTCACTGTTTACAAGAATTGACAATTGATTAGCCAGGACTGGTAGACCCTCTTTTTCTGTAAACAAACCAACTGATACAAGTTCAGCAAAAAACCTCAAGTCAACTCTATACTTGCTCAAATTGGCAATCTGAAAAAGCAGACAAAATATTATTTACAGGCATAATATATCATTTTAATTATAAAAAGAAAAGAAAAAAAAATGCAACTGAAATTTTTTTCATTAACTGATCTCCTTTACACATTATATTATATAGTATTTCTTTATTTGGTTGCTATAGCTATTAGAAGTGACTAAGCAATCTATTCCTGGAAAATTATCAGCTCACTAAATTTTATTCTCTCTCCCTTAAATACATGGTGTGTGTGTGTAAGAGAGAGAGAAAGAGAACACAATATGACTTATGATTGTATGTTAAACATTTTTATAACTCTCCAAGTTTTATCATTAATCGAAATATCTGCTCACTTCTGATGAGATAAAATTGCAAATTTTAATAAATATAAAAAGGTTACCCATTGCTGGTGTTTATTAAAGTTTATGGGCAATATGTGATTGAAGTCTTTGTTCAAAGCTCAGATATTCAAGTACTACACTGTCAATAAAAGTGGGATTTCAAATCAATGTTTTTCTGCTTTTAACAATTTTACTCAAATTAAAAAAACTTAAACATACAATTGAAAACCAAGACCACTTAGTTCCTATGAATTTACTAAAGAATATGGCTAATTGTAGCTTAGAAAATTCAACCATTGTTGCACAAAGCAGTACAACAGGTTAATGAAATGGTAAAACAGAAAGTTAATTATGTTATAACACTAATACACTTTTCTTTAAATTTAAAGTGAACTAATCATCATTGTCATCTATATTTTTAAGTCATTTCTTTAAACTTTTTCAAAATTGAAGTTTTGTTGCAATAACTTTTCATTACAACATTCAAATTTCAGTTTTCTCAAAATAACAAACACAAAATATTAAAAAATTTTTTTCAAGTACTGCATAAACACAAGTATTGAACTTTGATGTAAATTAGCTGTGACCTAATTTCAACAAACTTTCTGCTTGAATTTCTGAATTTTACACTATTTTAAAACATGCATCCTCATTTTTGTTAACATAATGTTTCAACTGCTGTGCCCTCTGATCTTCATCAGGTTTATGTCAATTTGGGTAACCTACAGAGAATTTTCACCTGAACACTTTATTTAATCTACAGGGAGTAGACTGGTTCCACTGCTCTTGTCTAGGGATATCTTAATTATTTATTATTTTTAATACTGTTTAGTTATTGCTCGATCTGTTTCCACTGAGTTCAAGTACACACTGCCTAGACCATGGATTGAACTCACAATTACTGTTGTCAGTTCCAGGCACTCAGTATGCCACATAATGTGAAGATTCCTAGCAAAGAAGTACTTGTCTTATATCAGAACACTTTGTGGAATTGATTTCATTCATAGCAATTGGATGGTAAGCTTGAATGTGTTCACCAGAAGCCCTACAGCTGAGGCCCCAACAGTGGTTTGAAACTGAGTGGAATCAGACTCCTCTCTGAGAGAATGTACTAACATTACAATAGATAATCTGATGGAAATGTTGATGTTCTGTGTGTACAGACAACATTCTTCCAACTAGAATCTGACATATACCAACAGGAGGAAGGCTTGGGCTATGGCTTCACCATTGTCACCAGGAAGTTGTATAAATACTGTTGGACCATCTGAAATCTATCCAGTTCGCAATAGAAAAAATAACAATCAGCTAGCCTTCCTGGATGTACTAATAATTCACAGAGAATGGGTTCAAGACATCCATATATCACAATCCAACCCTCACCAGAAAATACCTCAACTTCAATTCCCTCCATCCATACAGTGTGAAGAAAGGGATTATTTGATGCCTACAACACCAATCATAAGTGATAACCTATTATTAAAAATGCACCTTTAAATGCCAAATGTAGGTGCGTTGTCTCTAGTTTCTGGTCTAAATAAACAACAAACTTCTTCGATGAGCGACCCGACCGAATATGATCAGTATTCGGCCCGCACCCAGAATAAAATTTGCTATTAGCTTTAGGTTGTGCATTATATAAGTTCCCCCAGAAAATGGCAACTGATCAAGACGGGGTGTTTTTTGGAAGGAGAGAAGAAAACCTATATATATATATATATATATATATATATATATATATATAAATAAAAAAGAAAAAACAACGAATATATAATCCGATGTTCTTATAGATATTTTTTATTTTTTTACAAAATAGTGCTCAATGTAAATTTACAGACCATAATATTTAAATTAATTGATTTAAAATATGGTTTTTTTTCAACCTAACCATGTTTCAAAATAGAAGCTAAAAGCCCCGAATTTAATTTTGGAACCGTGTTACTCCAAAATTCGCTTGAGGATGAAATGGAACTAATGCTTTTAATTTAATTGCAAAATTAAATTCGGGCTTTTAGCTTTTATTTTTGAAACATGGTTAGAACTGTGTAGCAGAAAAAACCATATTTTAAATCAATTAATTTATAATATTATGCTCTGTAAATTTACATTGAGCACTATTTTGTAAAAATAATATCATCTATAAGAACACCGGATTATATATCTCACCGTTCTTTCTTTTTATTTATATACATACTTTTGCTCCTAATCAAAGTCAAGCACTCTAAATCTTTATTTTTAACAAGAAGAAAATATGGAGAAAATAAATTTCAGAATTTCTCTGAAGAACATTCCTAATACCAACAAAAAGGAATATTTCGTGTTATTAATGAAAAAAACAGAGGAACTTATACGTAGGATGAGATGGAGAGCTTACTTCTTCCTTAATAAGAATGAACCAAAAAACAAAAACTACAAGGAAACTTGAAACCATGGAAACGTGATTTTAGCTGTGTCTTTAAAACCCAGTAATTTTTAAAAGTTACTCCAAAATTCGCTTGAGGGTGAAATGGAACTAATGTTTTTGATTTAATCGCAAAAATTAAATTCGTGGCTTTTAGCTTCCATTTTTGAAACTGTGTAGCGGAAAAAACCATATTTTAAATCAATTAATTTATAATATATATATATATATATATATATATATATATATATATATATATAAAAGGCTTAAACACTAATATTCCATGGTCATAATTTATTCCATTGGAATCGTAAATACGATCCAATTCATCAGACCTAGAAATTCAAAAAGAAAACAGAAAAAAAACCAACTCCGGAAATAAAAACAGAATTTAGAGAGAGTGTAAGTATGAGGAGGAGGGAGATTAAACCTTAACAGAGAGAATTTTAGGAGAGATGGGTGGAAGGGGTTTAAGTAAGAGAAAAATGAATGTTGACGGATGTCTAATGCATAATGATACATTTCGTGGTGACATACACACACCATAGACAATCTAATGTTAGAATAAGAGGGAGGGAAAGACGAGGTCGGGGAGAGAGATGGGACGAAGGAAAGTAAAATTGCGTTTACTTAAAGGGCCGCTTTGTAATTGAGAAAATTTGACAAATTTAATATCGACTACAAGTTACAAATCAAATATAAATATATAAAGATAAATATAACGATTATCTAATCCAGCAAGGACCTATATTTCTATGTTCAAAAACACATGCGAATACACACAATAACATATACATGTATATACATAGGCGTGTACCCACATACACACACCCATGTGCACACACATAAAAATATATTCACATATCCACATATATATATATATATATATACATACATATATACACACCCTTACATACACACACACACACATTATATATATATATATAAAAACCAAAAATATAAAAATATACAAAAAATACATACACTCACATACATGCATATATACAAACATACATCCATCCGCATCCAGTCCTTCATATATATATATATATATATATATATATATATATATATACACACACACACACACATTTACCCACATATATACATACGGACATATGCATACGTGCACATAAACATATATACCTAAAACCTTACATTTCTATACAACTATTTAAACAAATAGACAATGTATCCCTATATCTATCCGTCTAACATATATCTACGTACATATACACCCATATACAAATATACACATACATGTACATCCATACATACACATACATATACCTATATAAACACCCCTACATATATATACATACATACACACACATATATACATACACATATGCACGCACACACATACACATATATACATACACACGCATATACATATACATACATAAACACCTCCATACATACATATACATACACATACATACATACATATATATATATATATAGAGATTTATAAAAATTAAAATTTAAAATCTAAATAAGTAACATTTCAAACATTTGGGCGTGTAAAAAAAAAATATATATATATATATATATATATATATATATAAAAATACATAGCGCATCACATAAACATACACAATGATACATATAGAGATAAACATAATAGTCATTCCATTAAAATGTCATGCCCGATGTTATTGACCCAAGATGGAACTGACATAAGTGACAACATGTTACAAAACGGTGTTCATGTTTTGAATCGTTTCTTATGTCTACATTTAGAGAATATCCCATTACGAAGATTCAGCAGCTCATCTCGATTCTTATCTTTGATAATGAAGATTTTTTCCACCATGCACAGATCACACCGATCGCGGAAGTTATTAGGTGTTCTGGCTCTTGATAGGTATCTCCATTTCAAAATTGGGTTTAATCCTTATCCACCAGTTAATATATATATTAATAAAATAAAAACGATTTATTATATTGGCTCGTCTTACAACTTACTTTCTCTTCCTCCCCTTTTAACTTCTCTATTATATCTTATTTGGTCTTTCTCTTTTTATAACTTTCTCTTTTATTATTTTTTAACTACACTTAACAAAATGTTTATAATAGAGTGATTAAAAAGACAGACTATTTACAAAAAGAAAACTCCTAAAATTTGGGATATTGATTGATACTCTAATAAATTCCATTTAAAAACTAAGAGAAATAACATTGCTTAAAAATAAATTAATCAAGCTATTTAAATGTTAAAACGTGTAAATTTTAGATAAAATAAGTTACTCCCCCAAAATTATCCTTAACAGACGAAATTCGTTTAACCTAGACACATATCAACAGGAAATGATCAGCATCAAGCATACCCTTCAAAATAACTAGTGGAGAAGGAAGAAAACCGGAGAGTTAAACATCTGAAAGAATCAGTGCATCTGCTAGGCTATGAGGACCTCTTTTGTAGAGTCTAGCATAGAAATAAATACATGGTTCATGAATTTGGTGACACAGTAATTGTAAGTTCAACCTCAGTGGAAACAAAGTGAGCAATAATTGATCAGTACTAAAAATAAGAACTACTAAACTAAAAACTAGACAAAATATACATAAATATGGGCAGTGGTAAGAGAACAGTTTACCAATCCCCAACCCCAGGGTTCAATTTGGAATTTCTTGTAGGTCTTGTAGGTTACCCAAATCAACATACACCAGATGAAGACTAGAGTCACAATGGCTAAAACACTGTGATAACAACAATAAAGAATTTGGTGACACAGTAATTGTAAGTTCAACCTCAGTGGAAACAAAGTGAGCAATAATTGATCAGTACTAAAAATAAGAACTACTAAACTAAAAACTAGACAAAATATACATAAATATGGGCAGTGGTAAGAGAACAGTTTACCAATCCCCAACCCCAGGGTTCAATTTGGAATTTCTTGTAGGTCTTGTAGGTTACCCAAATCAACATTCTTGTGATAACAACAATAAAGAATTTGTTTGTAAGTTCAACCTCAGTGGAAACAAAGGTTAATTGATCAGTACTAAAAATAAGAACTACTAAACTAAAAACTAGATATACATAAATATGGGATAAGAAACAGTTTACCAATCCCCAACTAGGAGTCAACATACACCAGATGAAGACTAAAACACTGTGATAACAACAATAAAGAATTTGGTGACACAGTAATTGTAAGTTCAACCTCAGTGGAAACAAAGTGAGCAATAATTGATCAGTACTAAAAATAAGAACTACTAAACTAAAAACTAGACAAAATATACATAAATATGGGCAGTGGTAAGAGAACAGTTTACCAATCCCCAACCCCAGGGTTCAATTTGGAATTTCTTGTAGGTCTTGTAGGTTACCCAAATCAACATACACCAGATGAAGACTAGAGTCACATGGCTAAAACACTGTGATAACAACAATAAAGAATTTGGTGACACAGTAATTGTAAGTTCAACCTCAGTGGAAACAAAGTGAGCAATAATTGATCAGTACTAAAAATAAGAACTACTAAACTAAAAACTAGACAAAATATACATAAATATGGGCAGTGGTAAGAGAACAGTTTACCAATCCCCAACCCCAGGGTTCAATTTGGAATTTCTTGTAGGTCTTGTAGGTTACCCAAATCAACATACACCAGATGAAGACTAGGAGTCACAATGGCTAAAACACTGTGATAACAACAATAAAGAATTTGGTGACACAGTAATTGTAAGTTCAACCTCAGTGGAAACAAAGTGAGCAATAATTGATCAGTACTAAAAATAAGAACTACTAAACTAAAAACTAGACAAAATATACATAAATATGGGCAGTGGTAAGAGAACAGTTTACCAATCCCCAACCCCAGGGTTCAATTTGGAATTTCTTGTAGGTCTTGTAGGTTACCCAAATCAACATACACCAGATGAAGACTAGGAGTCACAATGGCTAAAACACTGTGATAACAACAATAAAGAAGAGGACAATAGCCCTCGTACTTTGTTAACCACACTACATATGATCTTGCTCAAATGATATATAATTCATTAAATATATTGTAAGCCAACTAGAATTCTGTTTAACTGTACCTTATTTCAGAAACTATTTCAAAATAAAAATAAAAAAAAGGAATTTTATTCATAAAAAAATTCACAATGAAAAAATAGTAATCTATTGTTTTTTTTCTTTTAAATACCTTTTCATCTTTCTTGAAAAGAAGATATTTTTGCCAGTTTTCCATCAAACAAGAGGAAAAATCAGCATATCGCTGATGAAGAAGACTGCAAATCAGGATAGCACAATTAATATCAGACATCTTCAGCTTAGCTTCAGTCAGAGCCGCAGCCTGAAAGAAACAAAATATAAAAGTAATATTTCTTTACAAAACATTTCCGAGAAATAAACGAAACAATGTATAAGGCAATAAAATACAAAAACTCACTGCTTCACCAATATACTTGGAGAGATTTAAACTCTGAATATCTCTGGTTAAGGAATCCTTTTGCGATTCAGTCAAGTTTCGCTAGAGAGAGAGAGAGAGAGAGAAAAAAAAAAAGATTGTGTTAGAATTTTTTTAGCTATTCATCTACATAAAAACTTGGATTCATAACAGACCTTTATTTAAATTATAAAAGTTTATCTCAATTTTAATTAAAGAGAAACTTTGATTAAAATGGCTACAGATTATTAAGATGAAATAGAACCCTACAAGAAGGCGCAATTTTCATTTATTTTAAGAATTGAATTTCTCTGGCATTTTATTCACAAAAGTTTTCAACTTTGAAATTTTTTGTGAAAGAAAAAAAAAATAATAATCAGTTTCCATTTTTTTTGTAAGCATATCACCCACCTCAACGTTGCATTCCCACCCCTGATCTCAGTATTCACTGAAAGTTGTGGTAGAGTATGCTGCATAACCACAAGGTAACAAGATGAAAGAAGTGCCATGTTGAGAAATAAGAACATGAACACTGTTTCCCATATAATATACATATGCTTTATTCAGGGCTTCAACTGCTTTCTCGGGTGGGTAGGTTGGTAGGTGATACAAGGGACAACTTCTGTTATGTCAGCTCTTCTGCCCCTACCAACTATTCGGCCATCTACTCATCCTGAAGTGCTGGTTGGCAATATGAAAATGGAGACTTTTGGAATCTTGACACAGACTTGTCTGTCTCCAACTACAGGCAGACCAGCACTCTCCCCAATCTCAAGCATGACTATTATTAATATAGACCAGCACCCAAATATAACTGATTTATTTTTTTGCCACTTGATCTGCAAAAATCCTTCATCCACCCCTTTATTTATGTGTTACTCTATGGTCAAAGTGGATGCTGCTTAGAAGACCAAACTTTAAAAGGAAGTATCTGCTGGTCCATCAAACAGAAACACTTGAGATCAAGATAAAACCACCTAAAAATTGCATTAGATACATTATGAAAAAAGTTATTCATATTACAGATAAAAGAATCAATTTGTTGAATTCTTCATCTGAAAATTAGTAAAGTTTCAGGCATGTACCTCCAATGGATACTATTTTATGGCATCTTCAGGATGATATACTTTTCTTTTTTTAACCTGTTTTTGCCCTACTGTTAAATTGCACTTCTGGCTGTTTTTATATAGTGTAAACGAGATTTTTTTTTTATTTATTGATGTACTAATGAAAAAAAATTCATCTGTGCTACTATGAATCATAGCAAGAAGTTACAAGGCATTAAAATCTTGAAATGAAATTTATCTGAGCAGTCAAAATTGCCCTTCAGTGTCATTTTTTTAATTATTTCATTTTTGAGAACACAATTTTTCCCAATGTTTAGGCTGGTTGGATGTAATAATTGTTGATTCCATTAGTACTATCTTTCTTTTACTTCAATACTACTTACATGAAAACAATCTTTTCCTGTTTGAAGCCTGCATCTTCAGTTATACACTGTTAAAATTGACTTCTGGCACAACAGCACATGCAACAGATAATTTTCCAAGTTCTGACCAATTTTGAATGGTCATAATTTGGTTGCTCATTGAGCTACCAAGATAAATTTGGTATCATTTTTTATTTTTTGCCAAGATCTATATATCTGTATTAAAGGCTTTTAGCTATATTGAAAATAAAATTTTAGTTTTGGATACTTAATCTAAGATAAAAGAAAATGTATTTATACAGTACTCATGAGAATGAACATAAAAACATCTAGATAAATTCTATAGAAATGTAAAGAATGGATGCAATCATCAACTAAGCAAAGAATAATCTATATAATAAATGCTAATGTTATTGTCAGTGTGTCACACTTTTTCAACTTTACTCCTAGAGACTGTAGCTCAACATATACCATTTTGGAATCAAGCAGACTGTGAGCAAATTAAAAACATTCTGAGCTGGATCCAGACCTGCAATCCTGAAATTTTGGATTCCCAAGTTTTCATTACTGCAATTTTTTTTATGTGATTTTTTGCAACAATTTTTTTTTGTACAATAACAATTTTTATAGCTTGGGAATAAATTTGGGAATAATTGAAATTAATTATGAAATCCAACGATAGTCACCCATGAAATAATAATTGTATGTATGGAAAGTAAGAACCTACATACATCAAATTGTTTTTAAATCAAGTGGCGGTAGAAGAATTATTGCTGAACTTTTAAAAAGTAAGCTTAAATATTAATGCAATACTTAAATGCAGTGATCAATTTTGAGTTCTGTAGTTTATTGTTGCCTATTACATCTGCTCCTCTGTACCTTTTATGATGAAGGCCCAATCAAGAGCCCTCTGCTAGTTCTATCTATATAAATCACAGGATGTCATTAACCTAATGAGAATTGTTATCAAACATTTAAAAGAAATTTTAAATGTCACCATAGTAAAAATATCTACTTTATATTTATAAAATGTGATAATATATAAAATTTAACCACAAACTTTCATAACAGTTCAAATAAAATAAATAACCAAAAGGAAAAAGAAAGGATATTTTTTAATAATTACCAATTTCTTCACAAATGCTGTGTTTCTCCGGAGACTAGAATCCAACTTACTAAAATAGGGTTCATCTGGGCGATTTTCTTGAAATCAAAATTAATCAAATCAATATTTTTTTAAACATACCAATGACAACAATATATACATTACTATTATTAATAGATATAGTCTACATCAAACATGAATTAGTCTTCATTTCTGAGATGGTAAATACTTTTTTAGTTTCCTATAACTTTTAGTAATATTGAAAGCCCCAAATATTCCCAATTTATAAAAATAAAAACAAGTTAAATCACAATGCATAAAAACTACTGAACAATGAACATGAATGTTATATTTTGTGTAGGAGTTACTAAACTTTTTAGAAACTATTTCAATGTTTAGTGTTCAAGATAAAAATAATTTACTTGAAAACTTGACTATATTAAATCAATTTAATTTTTGTATCAAATATCCATTGATTTCACTGAATATTTAAGGATTAAAAATAATTCTAAGGATTATTTCATTTACTTAAATTTAGTTAATAACATTTTGCTTTTGATCTATAGAATTTCTTTGTCTTTTTTTTTTTTTGTTTCAGACTAAATTTTTTTTATGATGCCTTCTTTTATTTATATAAAAATACAATCATAGACAATATATTCATATTTCTAACATTAAGGCCACATTTTCAAATATGTTCAAACTCTTTAAAAACAAAATATATCACAAAAAATTACATTTATAAAGGTTTCTAATTATAAACAAGAATAGATCATAAATTTACCTGAAGCAGAAATATTCATAGATCGCAGATGATTCTTTTGTTGTAATCTCTCCACTACTTCTTGGATGTAATCTTTGATTATTTGCTGAAAAAGAAAAAAATACCTTCATTAAATATAAAGATAATGATTTCATTTTTACATAAAAAAAAAAAAAAAAATGCATATATAATCAAATTTTTTATTTTACGATAAAAAAAAAAACACATACTGATTAATTTTAAGACTAACAGGAAAAAAAGAAATAAAAAAATAAGATCACTTCACATACAAGCACACTTCTTATGAGATAATGAACATTTTTTTTTTTTTACTCTTCCTTTGTGAAATACTTGAAATTTAGCCAAAGAGAAATATTGAAATAATCAAATGTCATGTATAAAGAAAAAGATGTAAAAAAGAGAGAAGAAATTTGGTAAACTTATAGAACTGTTTGCAGAATAAGCAAAATCAAAGATACCTAGCATTGCTTGAAGAAAAAGAATTTTGAATACAACATAAAAAAAAATTGTTCATCTATTTCTTCTTACACAACACATGAAAGAAGATTATTTACACTATTTTTCAAGAAAAGTATTTGTCACAAAAGATATATTTTGATGACCAAAACAAATATCTGAGAGGGTTTCTGGGCATACAACATTAGTGATTCTCCCATTGAGTGCCAGCATGAAAAGACTGTTTGGGAATCCAACCTTTAAATTTGATCTAATTTGTTTCTTATGGTTCAACAACACCTTATGGATTATTAAAGCCAAAACATATTTGGACTTGTAAGAATATTTTTTATGCAAGAGAATATTGCATTAACAATTCTTTTAAGAATAACAATGATTTTTTTCAGATACAAGTCCTGCATTTAAGCCATACCTAGAGAAAGGAGATGGCCTTATACTTTTCCCAAGGATATCTACATATAAATGAATTTAATGTATTTTCTGTTTATACGTTATTTTTATAGATATAATTTATTTAAGTAAATACACCATTTTTTTAATTAAAAAAATCATATCTATAAAAATAATGTATAAACAGAAAATATATTAAATAATTGTCGGACTTAATCCATTCATAATATATAAATGAATGTGATGAAGCCAACTGGAATTTAAACCTGGCTCTGTAATTTCTCCAACAACTAGAACAACCACACAGCTAGCCATGGGAAAAGCATGAAGTTGGATTGAGGTAATTGAATTTGGGAGATTGTTATTGTACCTTCTTAATGATCATGGTAAAGTGCCTCACTTAAATTCTGTGAAAATTATAAACTTTTTAGGAATGAATACATTCTTTTTGTTTATTCTAGTTTGATATGAGGGAGAAGCTTGATTTCTAGGTGAGTCTCCGTGCATGATTTTGAAGGGTTGATATTTCCAAGAAGCATGATGCATTCCAACTTTTAGTTGATTACTGTGGAGAAAAAAAACCAGACAGCTCAAGCGAGCATTTGAAATGTCCAGAACCGTATCGACTGTCTTTTACAGCTGAATCTCCTTAGGAATCCATTTCAAAAGGAGAGTTTATTTGTTTGACAACCTCATTCTTTGGAACAAAAATGCATCGTTCAAAGAGCCAGTGATAGTTTTTTTTAGTTTGGGTCCATAAACTTAAATCCTGAGAATTATACAATTTTTGTTTGAAAACTTCTATTTACTTTTTCAGGATTGTACAATAATTTACAAAAAAAAAAAAAAAAAAAAAAATACAAAACTGGTTATTACCTAACATCTCTTTTTATCAAGTTGTCTTCACATACCACAGCTGTTTGAGGTTTCCTACAGACCCACTGAACTTAAATAAAGTCAATTCAGGTTTCCTATGGTAAAAATTTTCTTTCCCAAGTGAAAATCATCACAAAAATAGCAAAAGTCATTTTGTCACAGCTTATTTTCTCTCAAAATATGGGTTTTCATACTTTTTTTAGGGGTAAAATATTGAAAAATGACTGTTTTATCATCACCTAAACGAATATCAAGGAAACTTTTGATCTGAACCCCATGAAACTAGGTATTTTCTGAAAGCAAAAGATATATTCTTTCATTTAAAAGTAAAATTAGCTGGTGTAAATGACTCAAAATTTTTTTTTCAGTGGGTAAAATGTGAAAAAATAGTGAAAATTTTGCATTTTTTCTTGTTCTAAACAAATATTTCCCCATTAATGGGAAATTAATCTTTTTTTTTTTGAAAATCAGAAAGCCTAAATCATAATCAAACTATTTCAGGCATAAAATTGAGAGTTTTGAAGGAAATCAACATTCCTAGGGGTTCAAAAATGCGAAAAAAATCCATTGTTAATTTTCAATTATATGACTGCCAATGGTTAAAAAATTGACACCTGGCCACGGAAATCTTTACTAAAAGGCAAGAGATTTATCTGCAATTCCTAACCACCAGAAACCAAAAGTTGTTTTTTTTTCCTAAAAATAGCGATAAGGAAAATAAACCTAATTGACTTTTTTACGGTCAGGTCAAAGGCCAGCCAGCAATAAACGGACGTCAAACCTTAGAACAAGTTGTAATAAAACCCACCACTCCCAGATAAAAGCAAAGGGTGAATAAAAAAAAAAAAACAAAAAGGATTCACAATTACTAGGGCTTTGATATAACCTATGTTTGAACAATGGCTTGATAAGTTTTGTTTTGTTTTTAACACCCCAAGACCCGGTGATGACAACAACACTTAGCAGCCGACATTGTTTTTTTTTTTCGATATCTTTTGTATTTCCCCATCGCCGGTCCATTTAGCCTTTTTTTTATTCAATGATGTTCATGCCAAATGAAAGAGAAAGGAATGAATTTTGAATGATGTTATTTTTGAAGCGAAAATGAATATTTTTTCATTAAAAAAGGGATTTTTCTCAGAAAATTGTGCATAATTTCTTAATGCTAACCGCCGAGTGACATTTTCCACAGCCAAATCGAAGATTAATTACCAGTGAATAATTCCATGTGCAAAAATAGCCATCTGGATCCTATAAGGTCACCCTAAAAGGTCCAGAAGTTTACTAATTGATCGAAAACCTGTTGGGCATAATTGTATTTTTCTCAGTCAGTTTCCATTATTTCATCTTGATATTATCATTTTCAGACATCCAAGTCATCAAGGATTCAGGAAAACAATTTGACATAGGTTTTCTTTAAGAACTTTACATTCTATGAGGTGTTTAAAATGTTACTGACGAATGAGATTTTTTGCAATATTTCGTTTACGCCGCCATGTTGGATTTTCCTATATGACAAAAAAAAGGGTTTTAAACAGCTGTGATATATATTATATATTCAATAATATAATTATATATATATATATATAATATAGAGAAAAACCACAATTTGATTGTACACTATCAGATTTCAGAAGCTAATTATTCTAAATTTCTGATTCTGAATACAAGTAAATGAATTTAAAATCACTTTGAAATTTATACATAAAACTTTTCTCTTTGTGTATCCTTAAAAAATTAAATAACTGTTTTTTTATCACCAATGTTTTTTTTAAATTTTTTTTTTTTTTTTTCCTTCCCCCAGAGTTCTGCTTGGTTGAAAATACACTTAGTTTGAATTATAGGAAAACTGAATGAAATCAGTCCATTTTATATTAGAAACGATTTTCTTTCTCACTTTGGCTAGAAATTTTCAAATCACAGAAATTTTGGTAATCCCAAACAATCCAAGATCAAACATGGTCAAGTATTAGATTTGACAAAGTGAATGTTGAAGTTGTTCATACAAAAAATTATGTAATTTAACTGCATTCAATACTACAAACTTCTTAGAATTTAGGTGCCATGGGCTAACTTACATCATAAGAATAATACTGGACTGAAATAACTTTAGGTAGTTAATGAAAGCTCAAACATCTAAAAGTTAAGATAGCAATTTGCAGAATTTTAGTATTAAAAGACAGTCTAAGATGTGCATTTCTAAATTTCAGAAATTGCCTCCAATTCAAAATTTTTTGCAGAAATTCAAGAAAAAAAATAAGGATATATTTTGAAAAGACAGAAATTCAAAAATGATAGGAATAGTAAAAAACCAATTTTCAAAAATTGAATCTATGATTAAAGGATTGAAAATAACATTAAAAACAAAGTGAACTTGCATCAAAATATTTTAATGTGTTTATCATATTTTATATATAATTTTTAACATTTTTAAAGTGTTTGATTTTAAATCAATAAGTCTTCAATTATAGATGTGGCTTAACCAAAACAATGCCAAGAATAACAGATTATGACTGACAATTTTAAAGTTTTCATTCAGTAGGAACTAAAAGAAATTTTTTTTTAATTTTTTTTTTTTTTTTTTTTTTAACAGGAAAGGAAATCTTGAATTTAACACTCACTGTTAAATGAAAAGAGAGAAGCAAAGTTGTTAACAAGTAAATGGATTTAGGGATAAATATCAGACTAAAAGCTTTAAAATAGCCAAAATTTTTTTTTAAAGAAACTGAAGAGTTATTGTCAAAAATGTCCTTAATTTGACATATTAGAGAGAAAAGCAAGAGCCTGAGTTCATTCCTTTTATTCATACAAATTTCTGTTCTAGTGTGCATAAATACCTTGAAAATATTTTAAGACTTATTTGATGGAAGAGTTAAAAGAACCAAAATGCAAGAAACTTAGTTATTACAAGAGTATAGTCTTATTTTATTATATGAATTTGAATTGCATCTCTAGATTATATTTGACCAGCATGAAAAGATTGATCAATTAAATCTACCAGCCATTTTAATGCAACACCTCTTTGAGCTATATTGTTTTTTATCAACAAAGTTTAACATCATATCATTAGTTCTCGGCTAAATTTTATGTTGATTACAACAAAAAACAATGAAGTCTCATTGGTCTGCAAAGTTAAAACTAAAATCTCAAAAACCTCCCATAAAAAACTGGGGCAAGAAATCACTTGATTTAGACAATCTTGGAAAGACTTATATTCTTCAATTGACTAGTTGCCTCTTCTCTTCTTCTTCCTTCTTTCTCTCCTCCTCTTGTTTACGCTTTTCCTCTTCCTCTTTC